TAACTCTCTAATTAATGGACCGAACTTTATGAAACTTAATAGGGACGTAACTGGACCTTAGATCTTGGTTGTGTGTGATAATTGATGCGATCCTATTAAAATTGGCGAAATGGGAGGTATTTATCTGAAGTAGGAATAGTGTGTGTGTGTTCATGTATGTAAAATCACCGTGTGTAACTGGGTCTTTGCATGTATGTATGTATATATGAGTTACAGGTACAGTAAACGGTACAATAATGATGTCATACGGTACATTTCACCCACCCACCCACACCCACTCTTTACATCTATACACTAAAAGGTCAAAAAGGATCACATTCATATGACCTTTGACCTCAATAATACCAAGGTCAATTGCCTCGTCAACTCAACCCTCACCAGGAAGTCAATCATCGTACTCAAGGGGTTAATGTGGTATTCAGTGTGTGTCTGTCAATACAAATTAGCTCTCTCTCTCTCTCTCTCTCTCTCTCTCTCTCTCTCTCACAGGGACAACACGTCACATCCGCTCACCATTCTAGTAGGGAAGGTCGGAATTTCCCTTAATTGAAGGTTATAGTATGGGACTCTCTCTCTCTCTCTCTCTCTCTCTCTCTCTCTCTCTCTCTCTCTCATTCTTCTTGCCTCCTTGTTTCCTTGCTCTCCTCTCCCCCCCTCTCCTCCTCCTACCTTTCACCTCTCTCTCTTCATCCCCTCCTCCCTCTTATCCCCTCCCCTCCCCTCCTCTCACCCCTCTTGCCCTACTTTCTTACCTGTGTGGGGGGACGGGGGAGGCTTAGATCACCTTTGTTGATATCACCTAAACAGACAGACAGACAGACAGACAGACAGACAGACAGACAGACAGGTTATAGACAAGTTTCTGTTTATTAAAGGACCCATAAGTTTATTAGGTCAGTTCCCCCTCCCTATAATGGTGGTAGGAGGGTGGTGGTGATGGTAGTGGTGTGGGAGGGGGGGGTGGTAGTGGTGGTAGTGGTGATATTGGTCGTGATAGTGGTAGTGGTGGTGGTGGTAGTGGTGTGGGAGGGGGGTGGTGATAGTGGTGGTGGTAGTGGTGGTGATAGTGGTGGTGGTAGTGGTGATAGTGGTAGTGGTGGTGGTAGATGGTATTAAAAAACTTTCACTGATGACCATTAGAAATTGACCCTATTAACATTAGAGGCCTATTAGGACTGGCGGGCCTATTAAGACAGAGGTGTCGATAATGGAGGTGTGTGTGCGTGTGTGTGTGTGTGTGTGTGTGTGTGTGTACAATATCAATGCCTCACACACACACACACACATAAACCATTTACGTGTAAGAGAGAATTAAACAAGTATTTTTTTTTTTGTCACCAGTTACAAAAAATAATGTGTTTACGAAGCCCCGAGGAACCCGGATTTAACCACTCCTTAAAGAGTTAAACCATCATTCTCAAGGGGTTAAAGTTATCGTCTTCAAGGGGTTAAATCATCGTCTTCAAAGGGTTAAACCTCTTGAGGACGATGATTTAACCCTTTGAGGACGATGATTTAACCCTTTGAGGACGATGATTTAACCCTTTGAGGACGATGATTTAACCCTTTGAGGACGATGATTTAACCCCTTGAGGACGATGATTTAACCCTTTGATGACGATGATTTAACCCTTTGAGGACGATGATTTAACCCTTTGAGGATGATGATTTAACCCTTTGAGGACGATGATTTAACCCTTTGAGGACGATGATTTAACCCTTGAGGACGATGATTTAACCCTTTTGATTTAACCCTTGAGGACGATGATTTAACCCCTTTAGGACGATGATTTAACCCTTGTGGACGATGATTTAACCCTTTGAGGACGATGATTTAACCCCTTGAGGACGATGATTTAACTTGAGGACGATGATTTAACCCTTTGAGGACGATGATTTTAACACTTTGAGGACGATGATTTAACCCTTTGAGGACGATGATTTAACCCTTTGAGGACGATGATTTAACCCTTTGAGGACGATGATTTAACCCTTTGAGGACGACGATTTAACCCTTTGAGGACGATGATTTAACCCTTTGAGGTCTATAATTTAACCCTTTGAGGACGATGATTTAACCCTTTGAGGACGATGATTTAACCCTTTGAGGATGATGATTTAACCCTTTGAGGACGATGATTTAACCCTTTGAGGACGATGATTTAACCCTTTGAGGACGATGATTTAACCCTTTGAGGACGATGATTTAACCCCTTGAGGACGATGATTTAACCCTTTGGTGGTTGTGGTGATAAAGGTAATTGTGGGAGGGGGAGGGGGGGTGGTGGTAGGCATGTGATAATGGTTGTAGATGCTGGTAGGTGACGCTGGTAGGTGATAGTGGTGGGCCTTCACTGAACTAGTCTTCCTAAAGGACACACACACACACACACACACACACACACACACACGCACACACACACGCACACACACACACACACACACACACGCACACACACACACACACACACACACTAACCTTCAGACAGGCTAAAAATATAATAACTAATTATCTATGTCTTTATCAGTTATTCCATTATACGTAGACGAAAAAATATATTAAAAAAAATATACATAAATGGATTAATAATGTTTAGTTATATTTTAAAGTAAAGTTAAACAAGTAATTATGGCCTGAGTAAGTTTTTGTCGATTCTGAATCTACTTAATGTTTGTGTTTTTTTATTTTGTGTGCTGCTGGCGTCACCAAATGAAAGACTAGAGCAAGGATGAGGTTATGATACTCTCTAGAGACTTATATTACCTTTAAGTGTACTGTATATTCTTTAGTAATTGTTTAAAAATTAGATTGGGGAATTTTGTACTGTATGATAATTTGTTTGTGTCTGACATAAATACGTAAATAATGTTTATAAATTATCCGTTTTCTTTGAATGTGTTTTTAGAGAGAATTCGTTTTCTTTCTAGGTGTTTTAAGGGAGACTCAACTAAAAACCACAACATCACGAGACCAAAATGAAAATCCTACTATTATTGGTGGTGACGGCAGTGCTAACGAAGGAGAGTTTGGCGCAGGGAGTGCCTAGTGAGAGGTACAATCTTTCAGACGAGGAGATAATACCAGGTTAGTTAATATAGACCAGTGTTAAATATTATTAGTGTATGTATTGTAGTTTATAGCTAATGAATATCTATTTGTCTGCCTTTGTTTGTATGTAGAATGGTTTGGTTACACTCTGGTAGCTTATTCATAACACACCTACACACACACACACACCTACACACACACACACACACCTACACACACACACACCTCTCCCTCAGACACACACACACATGACCATGACAATATCGACGAGGGTCATTACCACTAACCTGAAATATTCTTAAAAAAAAAAACAACTTACATTACCTGTTCTTGTAATATACTAAGAAACAATTAATATATCTTTTGTCTGTGTGTTTCTCTGTTTTGTTTATATTGTTTACATGTTTGTTTGTGTGTGTTTGTTTGTTTTTATTGTTGATATGTCAAATGGGTGTCTAATCTTCAGGTAAAATAAGCCAGGGGGCAGATGAATCAACGGGGTAACTAATATCCTGTTCACGTTACCGCATCCTGAGAAACTTTCGTGGACTTTCCAGGGCCCCGTGGTGTAAAAATACTTTCCTACTTTCTCTTGAGGATTCGTAGAAAACCACTGCCCCGTGGTGTAAAAATACTTTCCTACTTTCTCTTGAGGATTCGTAGAAAACCACTGTCCCCCCCTCCTCCCCTCTCCCCACCCCTCTCCCCAACCTCTCCCTACTCCCCTCCCCTACCCACAACACAGGTTAAGGAACTCAAGTACAGTTATAATTTCTCTCAATTTTCCTGTTTTTTTTTAATAATTTATGCATTTAAGTTACAATACATAATTAATTATCTTAGGTGTTGAGTAGATAGATTAGATTACAGGTAGACTGTGTGTGTGTGTGTGTGTGTGTGTGTGTGTGTGTGTGTGTGTGTGTGTGTGTGTGTGTGTGTGTGTGTGTGTGTGTGTGTGTGTGTTTAGATGAGGTAAGAGATACTTCATTCTGTTAGGTGAACTGTATGTTTGTTTGTGTTTTATCTGTTTGTTGTTTGTTTTGGTTTATATACACACATACGTACACATACATACGAACAAATACACTAATTACAAGTACACACACACACACACACACACACACACACACACACACACACACACACACACACACACACACACACACACACACACACACACACACACACACACACAGAGCTAACCAAGGGCTTCCACCAGCATCCCCAACCACAATTACATAACCACCATCATCACCCAACCACAATCACCATCTACTACCAGTATTTCCAACCACAATTCTCCTTCACTACCCATAATATCTGCAGGTAGCCAAGGTTAGGTTAGGTTAGGTTAGGTTAGGTAGAGTCTCAGTGTTAAGTGAAGGTATCTAGTTAAGGTAGAGTCTCAGTGTTAAGTGAAGGTATCTAGTTAAGGTAGAGTCTCAGTGTTAAGTGAAGGTATCTAGTTAAGGTAGAGTCTCAGTGTTAAGTGAAGGTATCTAGTTAAGGTAGAGTCTCAGTGTTAAGTGAAGGTATCTAGTTAAGGTAGAGTCTCAGTGTTAAGTGAAGGTATCTAGTTAAGGTAGAGTCTCAGTGTAAGTGAAGGTATCTAGTTAAGGTAGAGTCTCAGTGTTAAGTGAAGGTATCTAGTTAAGGTAGAGTCTCAGTGTTAAGTGAAGGTATCTAGTTAAGGTAGAGTCTCAGTGTTAAGTGAAGGTATCTAGTTAAGGTAGAGTCTCAGTGTTAAGTGAAGGTATCTAGTTAAGGTAGAGTCTCAGTGTTAAGTGAAGGTATCTAGTTAAGGTAGAGTCTCAGTGTTAAGTGAAGGTATCTAGTTAAGGTAGAGTCTCAGTGTTAAGTGAAGGTATCTAGTTAAGGTAGAGTCTCAGTGTTAAGTGAAGGTATCTAGTTAAGGTAGAGTCTCAGTGTTAAGTGAAGGTATCTAGTTAAGGTAGAGTCTCAGTGTTAAGTGAAGGTATCTAGTTAAGGTAGAGTCTCAGTGTTAAGTGAAGGTATCTAGTTAAGGTAGAGTCTCAGTGTTAAGTGAAGGTATCTAGTTAAGGTAGAGTCTCAGTGTTAAGTGAAGGTATCTAGTTAAGGTAGAGTCTCAGTGTTAAGTGAAGGTATCTAGTTAAGGTAGAGTCTCAGTGTTAAGTGAAGGTATCTAGTTAAGGTAGAGTCTCAGTGTTAAGTGAAGGCATCCTTACCTCTCCTATAACGTCCCGGGTTCAGTCCTCGGTGGTTGGTGTCCCTGAGATATAACCGGACATATCTGGTCTCCTGTACCACCACTGGACACTGAAGGACGAATTACCATTGACAATATAGAGAGTAAACGACCTAATGACTTACCGTTTTCCCTTTGTGTCCCCATCCCCCCCCTCTCCTCCTCCCTTTCCCCCCTCCACCCCACCTATATCTTTCCCTCCCCTTCCTCTTCTACCCATCTTCCCATTCCCTTGTCCTTCTCCTTTCCCTATTCTCTCTCTCGTCCCCACCTCTCTCCTGTCCCTTTGTCTACCTCTCTGCTTTCCTCCCATCTCCCATCCTCTCCCCTTCTATCCCCTATCCCTCTCAACCTACCCCCCCCCTCTATCCTAACCTCCCACCACCCCAAACCAAAAAAAGTTCACTCACCACAAAGCTTCAACAAAACTCACTCCCACAGTTCCACACACCAAGACTGAGGCAGCAGGTTGTAGAACAGCTCTGGACAGTTATTTTAAGCTCAAGGAACTTTCACCAAACTCCTATGTGAAGATCGAGGTGAACGGGAACGAGTTATTGCCGAGGAGTTTCAGTAATGTTATGTTGTTGAAATGCTGTTAGTTTTGGCATGTTTCTTAGTGTATTAGTAACATTTCCCATCTCTTTGTTACCGATGTTTCTCAGTATAATTTACCCTTGACCTCTCTCTGTCTCTCTCTCTCTCTCAGCGTTTTATGTTTCTCTAGGATCCATTGTTCATTCTCACACGTATAAACATTCACTTTCCCAGGTTTTTTTAAGCATCTTTAGGTATATAATTGCGTTTATATCTGTCTCTTTTATTCTCACATCACCAGTTAGGAGGAAAACTTAACGTAGGAACCTTTGAGAATCCATCTTTGTGTGGTAGCTTAAGTAAGTCAGTTAGACACGTTCTCACATCACCAGTCAGGAGGAAAACTTAACGTAGGAACCTTTGAGAATCCATCTTTGTGTGGTAGCTTAAGTAAGTCAGTTAGATACGTTCTCACATCACCAGTCAGGAGGAAAATTTAACGTAGGAACCTTTGAGAATCCATCTTTGTGTTGTATCTTAAGTGAGTCAGTTAGATACGTTCTCACATCACCAGTCAGGAGGAAAACTAAACGTTGGAACCTTCGAGAGTAGAACAGGTTGTGAGAGGTTGCATCAGCTCTGGGTCTTGTCTGGTCAAGCAAGTGATTGTAGGTCATAAATCATCCCTGGAATGCAGACGCTTCCTTTGTTAAAGTTAATTATTTAGTCTACCATCTTATTCAGCTCCGTTTTCTATAACTGTTTTTACCACTAACTTAAGAAAATGTGAGAAACTTGACACAAACGCATAAAATCTATTAATACCGATATTTATTCACACTTACATACACGTATATACATTTAGCTATCACGTATATATAGTATGTTATGTTTATAAATGTATATTCCAGTGTGATGATGGTTTTGCATGATGTGGTAGCTACGGGTATGTGGCTAATGATGAGAAATTCCTGTTTTTTTCTCTCTGTCGCCTATCTGTTTCTCTGTCTCTCGTTTTATCTGTCTCTTTCGGTTTGTTATTTTCTCTTTGTCTCTGGCTGTCTGTCTCTCCCTTTCCCCAGCAATGACGCGACCGGAAAATTATGGCTGATAGGGTGTTGAAAGAATTGACCGTATTTCCCCCCTCTCTCTCTCTCTCTCACAGTCGCCGCCCCATCACTCGTACAACCCCTAACGTCAGATGGACTTCCACAGACAACAAACACCCAATCATCACCGTTACCAGTACCCCAAGAGAAAGAGTGTCCAGAAATCTGTACCTTTGAATACCTTCCTGTGTGTGGTAGCAATGGGGTCACGTATAGCAATGAGTGTTCCTTTACTCAGGCCGCTTGTAATGACCCCACACTCACACTCCTCCATGTTGGCGCGTGTGGTGAGCTAATTTGTTGATGTTTTATTTTTGTGTTTGATTGTCTGTCTGTCTGTCTGTCTGTCTGTCTGTCTGTCTGTCTGTCTGTCTGTCTGTCTGGGTGTTTTGGGGGGTATGATGGAGTTTCTGTTGTGATGTTTTTATGGATAACGTGTTTCTGTCTGTCTGTCTGTCATAATAACAACTGTATTTACTCATCGATAATACTTGCTTAAAGACCATTGTTGTTATATGTGTTGTAATGCATCACTAACAACCCGCTTCACTAGTAATTGGTCTAACAAGCAATTACTAAGGTAGTTTTATAAGACTAGAGTGACGTCTCTATTTAGCGGACTATATAACAATGAATTTCCGTTATATAGAGAGTCCGTTAGATGCTCAGCAGTGTGTATTTATAAACATCAACTCTATATCAATGTACGGTATTATATGAATGAACTATTAGTATTATGAAAAAAAAATTAGTTTATCTTAAAGTTTAGGGAGAAATTTATTTGTTTACCCTTAATGTTGTCATTATAACCATTTTCTATGTATTGAGTTCATTTTCTATTGAGCCCAAGCAGCGGTGACTGAGCTAAATCCAGTACAGGACTCTACCATACTTCTTTCTCCTCCACTACCAGTAACCTCTCTCGAACCCCTACCTCCCATCCCGACTCAAGGTGGCGGTGAAGGGGGAAGATCACCGTGTAAAAAACTATGTATCCGTATTTTTGCTCCCGTGTGTGGAACAGACGGAAAGATTTACAGCAATGAGTGTGTGCTTAACTCGTTCTCCTGTATGTCTCAAGAAAAAGGAGGAGCAGCCATTAGATCTACTTCTACCCTTAGTGCCTGTGGTAAGTAGTATGGCTTTTGTGTGTTTAATGGCGCTTGTAGTAAGGTTGGTGGGACATGTACTGGCTCTGTTACACACTGTTGGCAGGTGCTGGGACATGTACTGGCTCTGTTATACACTGTTGGCAGGTGCTGGGACATGTACTGGCTCTGTTACACACTGTTGGCAGGTGCTGGGACATGTACTGGCTCTGTTACACACTGTTGGCAGGTGCTGGGACATGTACTGGCTCTGTTGGCATACACTGGTCTGGCACTGTTGGCCGGGTGCTGGGACATGTACTGGCTCTGTTGCACTGTTGGCAGGTGCTGGGACATGTACTGGCTCTGTTACACACTGTTGACAGGTGCTGGGACATGTACTGGCTCTACACACTGTTGGCAGGTGCTGGGACGTATGCTGGCTCTGTTACACACTGTTGGCAGGTGCTGGGACATGTACTGGCTCTGTTACACACTGTTGGCAGGTGCTGCAGGACATGTGCTGGCTCTGTTACACACTGTTGGCAGGTGCTGGGACATGTACTGGCTCACCAATTACACACTGTTGGCAGGTGCTGGGACATGTACTGGCTCTGTTACACACACTGTTGGCAGGTGCTGCAGGACATGTGCTGGCTCTGTGTGCACACTGTTAGCAGTGCTGGGACATGTACTGGCTCTGTTACACACTGTTGGCAGGTGCTGGGACATGTACTGGCTCTGTTACACACTGTTGGCAGGTGCTGGGACATGTACTGGCTCTGTTACACACTGTTGGCAGGTGCTGGGACATGTACTGGCTCTGTTACACACTGTTGGCAGGTGCTGGGACATGTACTGGCTCTGTTACACACTGTTGACAGGTGCTGGGACATGTACTGGCTCTGTTACACACTGTTGACAGGTGCTGGGACATGTACTGGCTCTGTTACACACTGTTGTGGCAGGTGCTGGGACATGTACTGGCTCTGGCTACACACTGTTGGCAGGTGCTGGGACATGTACTGGGTTACACACTGTTGGCAGGCTGACTGGGACTGTTGGCAGGTGCTGGGACACTGGCTCTGTTACACACTGTTGGCAGGTGCTGGGACATGTACTGGCTCTGTTACACACTGTTGGCAGGTGCTGGGACATGTACTGGCTCTGTTACACACTGTTGGCAGGTGCTGGGACATGTACTGGGTATTACAACACACTCTGGCAGATAATTACAACATTCCACAACTCTTAGTTCATAAATAAATTGGCTCTGATATTTTCTGGACTTGTGGCTTCTTCAACCCTTAGCTGTGACCTCTAGTGGGGGAATCATCAACTAACACCAGATATAAACACTGAACTGAATAATGTTTTATATAGGTTATAAAATGTTTAGTGCACTTTAGATACCTTAATGTTTACTTTGATTGATTACTTAGATTTCTTGGAATTTTTTTATTGTTATTTATTATTTCTTCCGTAGAGAGCCAGCTATTAGATCACCCTGATGTTGACTCTATTGTGGAAGGATCCGTTGCTACTGATGTTGGCAGTTCTGGGCCTTCTGTTCACGCCGTTGAAGTTCCCGTTGACATCGTTGATTCGCCTCCCATTGTCCCGAGTTCTTCGTGTCCGACTCTGTGTCCCAAAATCATCATCCCCGTGTGTGGTAGCGACGGTGTCACCCACAGCAACCCGTGTGTTCTGCAGTATGCCAACTGTAGGAGTGTTGAGGCAGGAGGCAGTGGTGTGAGTCTCGTCCATAACGCCCCCTGTGGTAAGTCTTCAAAGCTGCCTCTCACTGTTTCCCTGTCTCTCTGTTTCCCTGTCTCTCTGTTTCCCTGTCTCACTGTTTCTCTGTCTCTCTGTTTTTCCCCTGCCTCTCTTCCTTCTCCTGTCTGTAGTTGACGTCACAAAATCACACAAATACTTCTTTATAATTATATGAATCAATTTCGATTTAAGGTCATTAATCGACGTTCAAGAGTAATGATATCAGCTTTTTATTGCCTTAGTTATTGATGTATTTATAGAGGAAGAAAATCCTTGGACATTCATTAATGGAGTTTATTGGGGCCATTAAACCCTCTATGGTCACACTGGTATGGGATTTAAAGGTTCAAGTTAAGGGTTTTAATGGGTTCTCGGTCTGAGGTCTGCCTGTATTCGGGGTAAAGTTTTAACATTGAGAGAGACTAGACCCTTCAGTATCTGGTTGTAGGATCCCAGAACCCCCCAGGACCACCCAGGACCCCTAAAGACCTCCTTATACTACCCCCAGAACCCCCCAGGACCACCCAGGACCACCCAGGACCCCTAAAGACCTCCTTATACCACCCCCCAGGACCCCCCAGGACCCCTAAAGACTTTCTTACACTGCCCAAGGACTCTTCAGAACCCCCATAACTCACCCCATTACTCACCCTCCCCATCAATCACCCCCCCACCTCCCCCATCAAGCAGACCAAATACCAACTAACACACACCACCCTTCATTCTTCCCCGTAAATACTTCAAGATGACCTGACAACTGCTCTACCACCACCAACCACACCAATGACTGATACGACTGACCTAAGGGGCGCCTCGGGATCGTCAACATGTACCAACAACTGCCCCAAACAACTGCTGCCCATTTGTGGTTCAGACGGGAAGACGTATCGTAACAAATGTGAATTGAAATATGCTGACTGTCTCGGCAAACAGCATGGAGGTGGAGGAGTATCTAAACAACACAGAGGCCCGTGTATTAGTGGTGAGCTGCGGTGGTTGATAGATAGATAGATACTTAAACTGATCATGATCACATTGTTATCAAATAAATTACGACGATCCACTAAATCAATGACCTAACATTGATATTTTGACCTAAATTTGACCTAACATGACCTGAAATGACCTAATATGACCTGAAATGACCTAACATGACCTGACATGACCTCAAAAACCCATTTCCACTTCAGGGAGAGTTGGAAACCCCCAACAGGAGGTAACAGATCGAACAGCAGTGGTTCAAGGTGACGCCCTGTTTACTGTTGTTCGTTGGTGAAAATAACTGTTTCCCTGTTAACTGTTGTTCGTTGGTGAAATTAATAGTTTTTTATTTAATTGGGAAAATATTAGAATGTGACACCAATTAAGATATGCAATTTATTTATTTTTTTTTTATTGTTGGTTCAGGTGGAACAGAGTCTGGACCTGTTGCAGCTGGGGAACCCGTTGATCCTGCTGGCTCCATTGGTCAGACTCCTGTTGTTAATGCTCCCGTTGGCACTGTTGATTCACCTCCTGTTGTTGCTGGTTCCTCGTGTCGACCGGAATGTACCAAAATTTACTTGCCTGTGTGTGGCAGTGATGGTGTTACCTACAATAACATGTGTCTCCTGGAGTATGCGGGCTGTACGAGTCTAGAGGCGGGAGGTAGCGGTGTTACTCTCGTCCAAAATTCCTCCTGTGGTAAGCCCTTTATAATATTCTAACTTAATATATCCAAAATAACCCAACATCTCAAAATAATCAGACAAGCTAACGTTTTATCTAAGTTATCCCTAATATATCTCCGTTTTCTTTAAAGTTAACTCTCCGGCTATGACCATTTTCTATGAATCATTTTGCTCTACCGTCCTGAACGAAGTATTTCTTTATATTTCTTCACTATGACATTTTAACAAGCTTGTAGTTATATCCTCTCGTGTCTAAAAAAACTTTCACAATTATCGTTATTATTATTTTAGTTTTATTTTTGTTCATTTACGATTTTATTGGTAATATTGTAGGTCTGTTTATATATAATTCGTAATGTTTCGTTCTTATTTCATCTGTTTGTGTTTCTCTTATGATTTATGCTTATGTTTTATTTTAATATTATCTCTCTTTTTGTTATTTCTCTCTATTTCTCTCTCTATCTATCTTGTTCTCTCTCTCTCTCCATCAAACAGAACATGCAAGTGTCCCTGTTATAGAAATCCCCGTTAGTACCGCTACCGTTAATTCACCTCCCGTTACTGAGGCCCCCATTGACCCCATTGCTGAGATCCCCGTCGACACCATTGCTGAAGTACCCGTTGACACCATTGCTGAAGTACCCGTTGACACCATTGCTGAAGTACCCGTTGACACCATTGCTGAAGTACCCGTTGACACCATTGCTGAAGTACCCGTTGACACCATTGCTGAAGTACCCGTTGACACCATTGCTGAAGTACCCGTTGACACCATTGCTGAAGTACCCGTTGACACCATTGCCCGTTGACACCATTGCGTTCGACACCATTGCTTTGACACCATTGCTGAAACACCATTGCTGTACCCGTTGACACCATTGCTGGAAGTACCCGTCGACACCGTTGTTGAAGTACCCGTTGACACCATTGCTGAAGTACCCGTCGACACCATTGCTGAAGTACCCGTTGACACCATTGCTGGAAGTACCCGTTGACACCATTGCTGAAGTACCCGTTGACACCATTGCTGAAGTACCCGTCGACACCATTGCTGAAGTACCCGTTGACACCATTGCTGAGATCCCCGTCGACACCATTGCTGAAGTACCCGTTGACACCATTGCTGAAGTACCCGTTGACACAGTTGCTCCACCTCCCGTTGCTCCGGCTTCCTCTTGTCCACTCCTGTGCATCAGAATCTTCATCCCAGTGTGTGGTAGCGACGGTGTCTCCTATGAAAACCCGTGTCTCTTGGAACTCGCTGACTGTAAGAGTCGAGAAGCGGGAGGGAGTGGGGTTACTGTCGTCCAAGAGGGCCCCTGTGGTGAGCTAGTGATGATTTTAACTCGTTTTACCCTCTCAAAGAAGACGAATAACATACTAAACAGTTTAATATCGTAGTTACCCTAATAAAAACGTAATAATATCGTAGTTTTGCCCTTATAAAAACGTACTAATATCGTAGTTACCCTTATAAAAACGTACTAATATCGTGGTTACCCTTATAAAAACGTACTAATATCGTAGTTACCCTTATAAAAACGTACTAATATCGTGGTTACCCTTATAAAAACGTACTAATATCGTGGTTACCCTTATAAAAACGTACTAATATCGTAGTTACCCTTATAAAAACGTACTAATATCGTAGTTAACCTTATAAAAACGTACTAATATCGTAGTTACCCTTATAAAAACGTACTAATATCGTGGTTACCCTTATAAAAACGTACTAATATCGTAGTTACCCTTATAAAAACGTACTAATATCGTGGTTACCCCATATAAAACGTACTAATATCGTGGTTACCCATATAAAAACGTACTAATATCGTAGTTACCCATATAAAAACGTACTAATATCGTGGTTATAAAAACGTACTAATATCGTAGTTATAAAAACGTACTAATATCGTAGTTATATAAAAACGTACTAATATCGTAGTTACCCTTATAAAAACGTACTAATATCGTAGTTACCCTTATAAAAACGTACTAATATCGTAGTTACCCTTATAAAAACGTACTAATATCGTGGTTACCCTTATAAAAACGTACTAATATCGTAGTTACCCTTATAAAAACGTACTAATATCGTGGTTACCCTTATAAAAACGTACTAATATCGTGGTTACCCTTATAAAAACGTACTAATATCGTAGTTACCCTTATAAAAACGTACTAATATCGTAGTTACCCTTATAAAAACGTACTAATATCGTAGTTACCCTTATAAAAACGTACTAATATCGTAGTTACCCTTATAAAAACGTACTAATATCGTAGTTACCCTTATAAAAACGTACTAATATCGTAGTTACCCTTATAAAAACGTACTAATATCGTAGTTACCCTTATAAAAACGTACTAATATCGTAGTTACCCTTATAAAAACGTACTAATATCGTAGTTACCCTTATAAAAACGTACTAATATCGTAGTTACCCTTATAAAAACGTACTAATATCGTAGTTACCCTTATAAAAACGTACTAATATCGTAGTTACCCTTATAAAAACGTACTAATATCGTAGTTACCCTTATAAAAACGTACTAATATCGTAGTTGCCCTTATAAAAACGTACTAATATCGTAGTTACCCTTATAAAAACGTACTAATATCGTAGTTACCCTTATAAAAACGTACTAATATCGTAGTTACCCTTATAAAAACGAACTAATATCGTAGTTACCCTTATAAAAACGTACTAATATCGTAGTTACCCTTATAAAAACGTACTAATATCGTAGTTACCATAGCATCTACTACATAGCATCTACTTAGCATTTACTACAGGGCCCCATAGCTGCTAGGTGAGGTTAGGCTAATTTAAGTTTGGTCTGGTTAGAATAATATTACATTAGGTTAGGTTTAGATTAGCTTAGATTTAATCAAGTCACATCAGACACGATTAGATTAGCAAGGTGGTATTTAATCCACAGGGTTAAATCAGAATATCTCATCTAAGACTTAGGCATAAATGATCATGCTATCATCAACAGGACAGTCGGCAATTGAAGAAGCAGCACCTATCACCCCCCAAGTCATCCCACTTGCGAAGACGTCCCCATGCCCTACTAACTGCACCAGGGTCTTGGCTCCTGTGTGTGGTAGCGACGGCGTCACCTACAGCAATATCTGTCTCCTGAAGGTGCGGGATTGTCTAGATCAGGAAGCAGGAGGGAGTGGTGTGCAGGTTGTGTCCGCTAGTTCTTGTGGTGAGTTAAGCTTTAAATATTGGTGATTTGGATAAAGATGCATCATAAATAATATAAATAAGCTCGTTACCCCTTAAAGTTAGATAAATAAGCTAGTTACCCCTTAACATTAAATAAATAAGCAAGTTACCCCTAATAATCAGATAAATAAGATGAGTTTTTGGGGTGATTTAATCTTTAATGAATAAAATGAATAAAAATCTGCAATAAGTAACACAAATAAGTAATTTCTTAGCATTAACTCTATATATAAATCCAAACACCCCAACTAAACCATATTTTATTTATTTGTTTAATCTAACGCAAAAAAAAATAAACAAAACAATAGATTCTGATCCTATTTTTTCCAGATTGTCTTTTGTTTTAGTGTGACGTATCGTTCAAGGCGTCTATAGCTATAAAGGCATCTTGAAAGCCTCGAAGATGTCTCCTCTTATATTGTAAAGCATCTGTATAGACTCATAGAGGGAAGTATCATTGTAATTAAGCATATAAATGGGATCCTGGGGTTAATTAAGATCTAAATTCTCTCTTAATTAACTTGGGTAAATATATTTATTCTCCCAGGATTTTATAAATGACTTGGAGGGGATTTATCAGTAACAATAGCTGTAGTGAGGGGAGGGGAGGGTTAGTGGGGGTGGATTAAGGGGATGGGGGGAGGGGTCGTTGTTATAGAGGGTTATTAGATGTGGTCGTTTAAGGTCGTCCTTCCATCATTACCTCACACTTGATGGTTGTCCTCCACCCAGCACCTCTGACCACCTAGTTCTCCCTACTACAGGAACACCCGTCACTCCAGCACCCGTCACCCTAACACCCGTCACCCTAACACCCGTCACCCCAGCACCCGTTACCCCAGCACCCGTCACCCCAGTCACCCCAGCCCGTCACCCCAGCACCGTCATCCTCCTGCAACAAGGGGTGTCCCAAGATCCTACGACCAGTGTGTGGGTCAGATGGCAACACCCACGACAATGAGTGTCTGATGAACGTGGCCAGCTGTGAGCGGAGGAGGTCAGGCGGTCGGCACATCTACATCGTTACCTTGGGGCCTTGTGGTCAGTTATGGACAGACGCTCCGACACGCTCCGACACGCTCCGACACGCTCCGACACACTCCGACACGCTCCGACGCGCTCCGATACCTCCGACACGCCTGACACGCTCCGACACGCTCCGACACACTCCGACACGTTCCGACACGCTCCGACATAGGACCAGTACCCCTCAACTCATTCCATACCCACAGAAATTGAAGGTTTGAACTATAGCACTATTTTCCTCCACGAGTTGAGGTGATTGAATGGACATAAAGCTTATATTGGCTCGTGTCTCAGTTACCACTAGTCCATTCAGCCTTATGACACCTGGCTATACAGTTGAAGTTGTTTTGAGTTAGTGCCTTGTGTTGTGTGTCCTTTCTACCCCCAGACGGCCCACTCGTGAACAGATGAACAAATATCCCAACCTTGAGACATTCCCCTGAACAAATTTGAACCTTTTTTGTGAACTTTTGAACAATATTGTACCTTCGTGTTTATGTCTACAGATGAACAAGACAAAACTGTACAAATTCTCATCTGTCTCGTTTTAAAGACATACATGACTGTGCTGTTTTAGACATGTATACACGTCCCCATGTATGTATCGTCCCTGTAGACATGTCGTGTACGTATCAGACTGTAAGCTTTTAGACGCCTCAAATACAGACATGACTATGTATACACGCCAGCATATGACTGTTTATGTGTAAGTTTTTCTATGAATTATGTATACTCTTATAGGTTAGGTTAGGTTAGCTTTTGGTTAGGTTGATGTTATGTTAGGTTAGGTTGGAATTAGGTTAGGTTAGGTTAATTAAAATAAGCCAAAGGGAATTAAACCTAAAAAAAAATATCAACTTACCTTAAACCATCACCACGCACTCTACCACCCCCTACCACGCACTCTACCACCCCCTACCACGCACTCTACCACCCCCTACCACGCACTCTACCACCCCCTACCACGCACTCTACCACCCCCTACCACGCACTCTACCACCCCCTACCACGCACTCTACCACCCCTACCACGCACTCTAACACCCCCTCCTCCCGCAGACCCCAAAGCGGAGGAAAAGAAGAAACGAGATACCATCAAGGCTTCATCGTGCCGACAAGACTGCAAGGAGATTTATGACCCCGTGTGTGGTAACGACGGGAAGACCTACGATAACGAGTGCTTGTTAGATATGGCTAACTGTAGGAAGTGGGAAGCGAAAGAACCCGGTGTTTACATTGTGGATGATGGTATTTGTGGACAGCCAGGTGGGTGTGTGGGGTTATGTGGGTAGTAAGAGAGAGAGAGATGATATATAATGCCCTTTTGATATATGTAATTTATTATTTTTATTATTATTTATCATTATTTATCTTCTCTATGTCATTCTATTTCCCATTTTCTTTTTTCATACATCAAAGTAATTCCATTTCCTCTCATTATTCACTACAGAAGCGCGTGAAATCGACTCCTTGAGACCAGCAGCACAACAGATCAGCGTCCAATCTGTCTCAACACCCGTCCAATCCCTCTCAGCACCCGTCCAATCCCTCCCAGCACCTGTCCAATCCCCACTATTGACATCCCTAGGTGTTTCGACTCGTAGTTCCTCCACCTCCTCCTGCTCAGAGATCTGTACGCTGGAGTATGACCCAATATGTGGCTCTGATAACCTCACGTATAACAGCCAGTGCCATCTAAAGAGTGCCAATTGCCGGAAGAGGTCCTTGGGTGGTGTAGGAGTCACTATGGCTTTCCAAGGTCCCTGTGGTAAGTAGAATTTACTAATGTTCCCCCTTTCTCTTGATGTTCCGTTTTCTTTGATGTTCCATTTTCTTTTAGATTCCGTTTTCTTTGATGTTTTTTTTTCTTATCGTAATTTTTGTATCTATCTTACCTCCCCATCACCCCATACACTCATCTCCCCACTTTCTCTCATCTCCCCCAACAGTTGCAGCCCTCCCCCAAGGTCCAGTGTGTAACCAGCTCTGTGACAAGAGCTTGAAATACGTGTGTGGTAGCGACGGGGAAACATACAATAACCCTTGTCTTCTGGCCCATGCTAATTGTCTCAACCCATTCGCGTCCATTACTGTAGCTAGTGAAGGCCGCTGTGGTAGGTGAGATTGATGGGTGGGCGGCTGGGTGCGCGGCTGGGTGGGCGGCTGGGTGGGCGGGTGGCCGGCTGTGTACCATTGTTTATATACCTGCACTAAGTATATGGTGAAGTAATGTAAATTCTTTCTCATTCTCTCACATAATCTCTCTATCTCTCTCTCACTCTCTCTAATCTCTCACTGCAGGGTCTCCCGTCGCTCTCTCAGACACGTCAAACTCAACAGAAGAGGAATCTAGCCTGGACGAGGAGGAGAGACTGGAGGCTCCTCAAGGGGACTACCTCCCTCCTCTTTAAGTGGGGAGAGGAAGATGGAGGAGGGGAGGATATTTTTCCATGCCCCCCCCCCATGTATAGGTCAATGAGGAAGATTTACCCTATTTCAGTACGTTAGGGGAGAGAGGGAGTTATTTGTCTTGCCCTTATCTTAGCGCCTAATAGGGGCAAGAGACTGTATCTAATGAGTGAGGGAAGGATTTGTTATTTAATGGCACCAGGAGAGAGTTTGTGTTCTTGCCCTCTCTTGGTAACGTTAAGGGAAGGAAGGTCATCTCTCTTGCTCTTATTTTAGCTCTAAAAGGGGCAAGAGGCTCTATTTTGAAGAGCAGTAGATGGATATCGTCTAACTTGCCCTCGTTTCAAATGGGCAAGAGGTAATTATTTGTCCTAAACGCATTATATTGCCCCCAACAAACAAGACTTGCCCCCTCCTATACACCTCCATATATTAATTAGTTAAATCTTCCCATAATTATTTACACACGAAAGCGCTGATAAGATTATACAGTATATGAGTTTGTCCTGCATTATATAATCATCCCAGACACTACATTATATAATTGAGACATTAATATATCCTATACGGCTCAGAAACATCCAATTAAAACTCGTTAAAAGAGGGTAAATAATTATTATTGATTCTTATTCAGTTACCCCTGTGACTCAAGATCAGCAGCGTATATTTATATTCTTTAGAAATAGACTTAGTTGCTGTTGTAGGTCACCGATTACAGTTCTTTGTTTTTTAATCTATATATTTTTACTTCTTATTTTATCTTGCTAAAGTTCCCATTAATTTTACTCTAAAGGTTAAGAAGAATTTTGAATTGTTTATACGAAAGTACAGCCTTAATTTGACGAAGAATGAAGATATTATTGATTATTATTATTGCGTTTTTGTGCTTAATTTGGTTTTAAAGTATTTTTTTAAGTCTTAAGTTACCCATACAAAAACCCGGCAGGTTCCAAATACATTTTACACATACAGCTTGGCTTTATACCGATAAACAATAAAAACACCTGTATATTTTCTTCAAACAAATCATTTCTTCCTACAAAAATAAAAAGATTAATTAAATTACTGAATAAATATAAATAAATATATATATAATGACAAATAAATTTACTTGAAAGATGGCAATACTATTTTACCTTCAGCTATCAAAGAAAACGTTAAAACTCTGTTAGGTTAATGGGAAACTCTTTCATTTTTCCCCTCCACACGTTTATGCATTTTGCTGGTGTTTTTCTTTACCTGTGATGGACGATATTGAATTATTTTATAGATGAGATCTGTTGTCCTGTGAATAAAGATGATAAATGAAGTTTGTTTTCAGTTATCCTTCAAAACTCAATGAAAATAGAACGAAATAAGAAATATCAATGTGGGTGTGTGTGTGTGTGTGTGTGTGTGTGTATTACCCTAAAAGATTGGGTTGTAATTTTTTTTATGGGTTTACAAAATATACTAATTCATACGTTACAAAATCTTCCAACTTTTACGTTACAAAATACATGAAATCGTGTATTACAAGACCCTTACATAATGAATGATAAAGTTAACCCCGCCATCTAGTGCGTGAGAAAGGTACTAAATTAGAAAACGTCTCAGGAGTAACTACTTTAAAACTCGTGACCTTATTCCTCGCCTGCACCCCTATATTGCCTTCACTATGAGACTTTTAATTTATTATTAATACTTACCTAGTTAATGTTATTAGAATATTTCAATTCATTATGTACTATACCATTTGGCCTGCTGGAGGAGAGCTGCGAGGATTGAATGAATCCTGGGTGACGTTGGCTGCACAGAACACAACTCCTGTTGAGTTTTGAGAGCGACTTATTTAAACACAGTTATGGAACCTGTAACAACTTTTAACACCTGCAAGGATGGGAAGGTGTCATTAAAGAGTAATATTATTAAACTACTGCAAGGATTGGTCTTCATTGTTATTTTATTGGGTTAAATTACATTCTCACCCTCTTACAACTAGGACATTTGTGTGTTTATGGGTATAAACGATTTGGACCACCATCGCTCTGTAATACTAGAGCGCTTGGCCCCAAATCATTACGCTATTAAAAACTAGTTTCTTAATTCTATAACCATGTTTACGTAAATAAGTTATTTAAAATTGGACGCTATTGTGCATTTGCGACGAAAATTATATAGAAGAAAAGTAACTTATAATATCCCTTTAAGTGTTACACAAATAAAACATTCTCGGTTGTATGGTTGTGAAAAGCTGCAATAATGCCACTCACTCTGTTGTGGGCCAAGAATGTGACAGAACACACACGAAGGTCTGTGGTGAGGGTCAAACTCTCTTATAATACCCACTACTGGCGTAAAACATGATCCTACACCCTTCTAAATAAGCTACCTCACTGGGGCTGCCTCCTCACCAGGCTAACTGCTCAGGAACTGTTTCTCGACCACGTAATTTACTAAACTAAACTAACTTTACCTCATATGAATGCTGCATAAGATAAAATAATGTGGTTCAAAACACAATAATACCGTTTATTTTCCAGTAACCAAACGCGAAATAATGCCTTTATTTTTGCCTTCCACTCTCTTTAACCCTTATTGGGCCAGTGTTGGGCCGGTGGCTGGACAAGAACGTACTCATCATTGTAATATCATCGTTGTGTCATTAGTGTTGGTTTACCTACGTTGTTTTAGTGTGTATTAATGTGTTTTAACAAGAAGGATAAATAGTTACTAAACCCAGAACATGAGGTTTAGTTCTACACGAGAAAATAAGTTAAATGTGAATGATAACAAGAGAGTTTGTCCACCTTCTCTGCAGACGACGAGTTCTTCCATCACCAAAGCAAAGATGTGAAGGTAAATATTAGTTATTTATCAAGGTTATATTACAGCGTTATGTCTCCTGCCATCATCTTATGTCTTCTTTCAATTGTTAACTTCATTCATCCTCCTCATTTTCATAGTTTTTTTTTTCTATTTCACGTAATTATCGAATTACCTTGGCTATTTTTAACTGGTTAGGTCAGTGCTTGGGCTTCGACTCAGTACCTCGGGGTCGACTCCAGTGTGGTGGTTCCGAGTCAATTTTCTTAAAAAAACAAATCCGACATGGCTGCTTTATACAGCCTTTTGTTGACCTAGAAATATACTAACGATGAACTAAAGTCAATAGTCGCCTTGTATTTACGTAAAATTGACCTGCCTGCAATTAAATCAGGATCCAACTCAAATGCTCCCGTTACCAGGCCGTTTAACCGATCTTAGTCATTTATGTGCAGCTGGATTTCCCTTGGCTGTCTCTAAGACGGGGTGAATAAGAGAGCCTTGTTGCTGATATCAAAGGAGTCCCGGCTACCAGAGTCAAGCAGGAGAGTCTTCTAGGCATCAGAGAGGTTCTTGTTGTAGTGAAATCCTAGACAAGGCAAGCAACCGTCGCCATCATTCTCCTCTGAGCGTGTTTCATCCGGGAAGTACAAATAAGCGCAATAGGGTTTAAACTAGTAAACTGCATTCATTTTCTTCAGTGTAGTGCATCCTAATATAAACCCGGGAAATTGTGGCTCAGCAGGCATAATGATGGTTTAACATTCAAAACTCGTACCATTTCGTAGTTTTATTTAGACATCTGCATACTTGATCACGATGGTAATGGAGCCTTAATACCTGTTACAAAGGACCTCCTCTGACCTGCTCACTTGACCAAGGAGGCCGAATTTCTTAGCTAGTTTGTGAGAGATCATATTCACATCTGACCCCGTATCGACCTGGATTAGGCACTTATGGTTGTTGACTGTGGCAGGGAGTAAATGGTAGTTCAATAATGTGTTCCGAGATGCGTGCCTAAACCAACTTGGCCTTTTGATTCTCTTAGGAACCGAGTCGGGAAATATAGACAGGGTTTCATTCTGTATTCGGGGTAGTTTCTGGTTGTCATAGGATCGTTTAGTGCCTCGCCGAGATTAGTCTTCGGTAAACACCTTCTGAAAACCTGATCTCAGTTTCATAATAACGCAATATTTTACCCAACAGTCAAACACACATCTGTTAGGCCTGTATACTGGCACCTGAAATAATGTAGTAAGTGATCGACAGTATAGTGTAGTTATACAAGTATAGTGAAGGTAGTTAATATCAGTGTAGTGGAGTGATGCCAGTATAGTGAAGATAGTTAACATCAGTGTAGTGAAGTTAATAGTTATCAGTGTAGTGTTGTGATGCCAGTATAGTGAAGGTAGTTGACATCAGTGTAGTGTAGTGATGCCAGTATAGTGAAGGTAGTTGACATCAGTGTAGTGTAGTGATGCCAGTATAGTGAAGGTAGTTAACATCAGTGTGGTGAAGTGATGTCAGTATAGTGAAGGTAGTTGACATCAGTATAGTGTAGTTATGCCAGTATAGTGAAGGTAGTTGACATCAGTATAGTGTAGTTATGCAAGTATAGTGAAGGTAGTTGACATCAGTGTAGTGTAGTTATGCCAGTATAGTGAAGGTAGTTAACATCAGTGTAGTGAAGTTAATAGTTATCAGTGTAGTGAAGTGATGCCAGTATAGTGAAGGTAGTTAACATCAGTATAGTGTAGTTATGCCAGTATAGTGAAGGTAGTTAACATCAGTGTAGTGAAGTTAATAGTTATCAGTGTAGTGAAGTGATGCCAGTATAGTGAAGGTAGTTGACATCAGTATAGTGTAGTTATGCCAGTATAGTGAAGGTAGTTAACATCAGTGTAGTGAAGTTAATAGTTATCAGTGTAGTGAAGTGATGCCAGTATAGTGAAGGTAGTTGACATCAGTATAGTGTAGTTATGCCAGTATAGTGAAGGTAGTTAACATCAGTGTAGTGAAGTTAATAGTTATCAGTGTAGTGAAGTGATGCCAGTATAGTGAAGGTAGTTGACATCAGTATAGTGTAGTTATGCCAGTATAGTGAAGGTAGTTAACATCAGTGTAGTGAAGTTAATAGTTATCAGTGTAGTAAATAGTTATCAGTAGTGTAGTGAAGTGATAGTTAACATCAGTGTAGTGAAGTTAATAGTTAACATCAGTGTAGTGAAGTTAATAGTTATCAGTGTAGTGAAGTTAATAGTTATCAGTGTAGTGTTGTGATGCCAGTATAGTGAAGATAGTTAACATCAGTGTAGTGAAGTTAATAGTTAACATCAGTGTAGTGAAGTTAATAGTTAACATCAGTGTAGTGTAGTGATGCCAGTATAGTGAAGATAGTTAACATCAGTGTAGTGAAGTTAATAGTTAACATCAGTGTAGTGTAGTGATGCCAGTGTAGTGAAGATAGTTAACATCAGTGTAGTGAAGATAGTTAACATCAGTGTAGTGAAGTCAATAGTTAACATCAGTGTAGTGTAGTGATGCCAGTGTAGTGAAGATAGTTAACATCAGTGTAGTGAAGTCAATAGTTAACATCAGTGTAGTGAAGTTAATAGTTAACATCAGTGTATTGTAGTGATGCCAGTGTAGTGAAGATAGTTAACATCAGTGGAGTGAAGTCAATAGTTAACATCAGTGTAGTGTAGTGATGCCAGTGTAGTGAAGATAGTTAACATCAGTGTAGTGAAGTCAATAGTTAACATCAGTGTAGTGAAGTCAATAGTTAACATCAGTGTAGTGAAGTTAATGAATCGGCTGCTTGTGCCATTAACCAGGCCATTCACATATATTTATTATTTGGGTTTAAGTAACGAAACCCAAACGGCAGTTCCTTGTGTTATTATGAAAGGTTGTAGATATAATTCCTGAGTGTAGGTCGACCGTAAGTTCCACTGTCTAGGAGTGAATGAGAAGGGGACGGCGTTTATGTATTATAAACGTTAGGTCACGTCCTTACGATATGAGTTGACGTGAGCGACTCATGAGTAGTGACCCATCGAGGGAGAACGGTATGGGTACGTCGTCCCCCCTCGAGGGAAGACGGAGCCATCCACTGCGGCTCTCAAATAACGTCTTCCTCTAGTCAAGGATATCAAACTACTGCTCGCTTCAGGTGGCCAGAGAGCCGGCCACAAATGCCTTTACTCAGCATAATATGACGCAGCTTCCCGTGGGCACACCTTATCACGTGCATTGAACATGTCACCTCATAGCCAGTGGAAAGTTACAGGGTGTGAATCTGATTATAGTATCAGATATATTGACCCATTTATGTAATATGTTCTGTTGATGAGACAGGGGCCCATTACATTAATAATTAACATCAGTGTAGTGAAGTTAATAGTTAACATCAGTGTAGGTATACAGTGTACATAAGTTGAGGGGGCAGGTTAGCGCCTGCTTCGTTACACGTTGACGATACATTTAGATATTTAACACCTGTATTAAATGATTCGTCTATCACAATTACCACCTTTAAACTGTAATGTAATGCTCTCCATAATATACAACAATAACTACAGCACACACAGCTTCCTCTAACCCACCACCAACCCACCCCAAACCACTAACCCACCACCCCCCACCACCACCCCTACCCCCACCAAACCACTCCAACTATCCCTGCTGCTTCGACTTACTTACTCGAATATTTACGGAGTTTGGAAGGCAGACATGACTCTCTTGGTTGACTGTACACGCCCGGCACTTGCCAACAGGGTGTAACGGAGCCAGTACTTCACTATAAATTTTTAGTAGACATTAAACTTTTGTTAGATAAGACATGCTCGTCCACACCACAACAAACTGTCCCTAATGTGTACTCTAACCTATCCCCCTTCATTATTGGGACGCCATTTTAAACATTTGGCTAATGCTATACGATTTTAACTTCCTGAGATCCCTAAAGTAAACTAAAGGTTAATAAAGGTTAATTAATTCTCCGCGCGGGTACAGACAGTGACATGTGGCAAGATGTATGGTATCAGGCGCTGGTATAAAAGTGTTTCCTGATTGGCCGTAAATTAATTGTTCCCGCGCTCTCTACTGCAACACAACGAACCTAAAGAAGTTCTTACTTTGTACTCTACCCATTTAGAAGGTAATTATGGTAATTTTAACAACTATTATCCAAGGGGGGGGTGTAAAGGAGGGTCTAGATGAAGAGTCTTGGTTAGGAATGAGATACAAACATACACACAGAACATATAAAACATTTCATTGTGGGATCAGTTTGTGAAGGTATCTCAGGCGAATAGAGGAAACTGCAGCGGGCCTTTTGGCATATACTGGGCAGTCCCGTTTACGCCCAACCTCTATCGCTAGTGAATGAATGGAACAAGTTACCAAACATCATCATTAACTCGAATACGCTGGATAGCTTCAACCATCGGTAGGATGGATATATGAGCGATAGGGGTTGGGTGTAAACGGGGATATCCAGTATGGCCCGCCGCAGTTTCCTCCATTCTTATGTTCCAATGAATTCTTTCTGGGGATTCTATATTCATTCTGTAGTACGGTGACCAGAACTGAACTGTGTAATCCAAGTGAGATCTCACAAGCGCAGGATATAGTTTTAGGATGACCTCGCTAGTCTTGTAACTAACACTCCTTTGTATGAACCCAAGTACTTTATTAGCCTTGTTTCCAGCAAATACACATTGTTTACTTGGTTTAAGATTCCTACTTATCATTACTCCTAAATCTCTCTCACAGTCGGATTTCTCTATGGCATCGTTGTTCATCTGGTATCTGGTTTCCCTGTTTACATCTCCTATACTGAGTACTTTACATTTGTCCACGTTGAATTTCATCTGCCATTTTTCAGACCATTCGAAAATTTTGTTTAGATCTTCCTGTAGTTTTGTGGAGTCCTCGTCAGATTTAATTACACGTCCTATTTTAGTGTCATCAGCAAATTTGCTTATGTTGCTGTCTACGCCGATATCTATGTCGTTTATGTATATAATAAATAATAATGGTCCAAGTACTGAGCCTTGGGGAACTCCACTAGTGACGTTACTCCAATGGGATTTAGTACCATTAATGTTCACTCGCTGTTTCCTGTCCTGTAACCACGCCCTAATCCATTTTAGAATATCTCCTTTAATACCATGAGCCTCCACTTTCCTTATTAGTCTTTCGTGGGGGACTCTGTCGAAGGCTTTGCTAATGTCAAGATATACCACATCATAGTTGTGCCCCTCGTCCACCGATTCGATAACAGCTGAAAAGAATGTTAATAGATTAGTTAGACATGAACGCCCGCTTGTTGAACCATGTTGGGATCATTGATCATCTTAATAATAATAATAATTAAGGGTTTATTGAAAAAGTTCTGCAGCTCGAAGGCTGAAAATATACATTACTGAAAGAAGGAACATGAATTGAACATACAAATTATTATAGTTTACAGTTGATGGCCCGGGCCTGGGCTGGTCATGGAGACACCAGGTGGTGAGGTGTTCACGTGGTGTAGTAACTTGTCCTCGGGTGTTGATATGAGGGACCTCACGAGGTCATGGGGACACCGGGTGGTGTGGTGTTCACGTGGTGTAGTAACTCGTCCTCGGATGTTGATATGAGGGACCTCACGAGGTCATGGGGACACCGGGTGGTGTCACAGTACCCCACTCTGCTGGGTGGTGTTGTGTTTTTTCCCAGTCAGGTGTGAAGCCGACCCTCTGTTGTTCCCAGGGTGGACTGATTAGCGCCTCCTTGTCAGAAGATGGCGGTCAGTTCCCAGGGGTGCTTAACTCACTGGTGGGTCACGGCTCTCACTGGCACTGTCTTGTGCTGTATCCCGGTGGTGAGGGTGGTGAGGGGAGAGGGACTTGGGGGATGGGACGAACATTGGCCAAGGAGGGGTGGGGGGCAGCTGCTCAGCGGGAGTAGCGCCTGAATATTTCTTGACCTACGGTGGTCAGGGATTTGTGCTTCTCCAGGTGATTTCGAATAGAGTTTGAAGTTATTGATTCCAAAAATTTGCCTGCAATTGATGTAAAAAAAAACTGGTTGGACGGTAGTTAGAGGATAGTGATCTATCTCCCTTCTTGAAAATCGGTATTACATTCGCTGTCCTCCAGGATTCTGGTACTACAGTACACCCGTTTAATGACATGTTAAACAACTTAGCTAAGGGCATACTAAGCTCTTCTTTACATTCCTTTAATACTCTGGCAAATATCTCATCGGGACCAGGTGACTTATTAGGCTTTGTCTCGTCCATTTGTTTACTAACATCGTTACAGGTCACTTTTCCATTTTGAGGTCATGTGCACCTGATATTAGAAGATAATCTGAGGTCAATAGTAATTTTTGTTCTGTCCAAAAACGCCTGAGTACAATACTGGATTAAAGAAACGTATTGGGATTTTCTAATGAAAGGGACGGAAGTGGGGGGGTACCCTAGAACTGTTTATCACGCGTTATACTTTGGGGACGTGGGGAGTGGGTGAATGACGGTGGCAGCTTTAGTACTGCCTTATCTGCCACGTGGGTGCGTGTGTGTGGGTGTGTGTGTGTGTGGTGTGTGTGTGTGTGCGTGCGTGTGGGTGCTTCATGACCAAAACTGGTTCTGGAGAGAGAGAGAGAGAGAGAGAGAGAGACCAAATTAACCAAACAATTCACCTGATCAAAACACCTGTTAATTAAGATACCTTATTTTCTTGGATTACGCAGTTCAGTTCTGGTCACCGTACTACAGAATGGATATAGAATCCCTAGAAAGAATTCAGAGGAGAATGACAAGACTAATCCCGGGCATTAGGAACCTTGAGTACAGAGACAGGTTAAAGCATCTTAATTTGCACTCCCTTGAGAGACGTAGAGTGAGGGGCGATATGATAGAGGTGTATAAATGGAAGTCGGGGCTAAACAAAGGGGACATTACAAAGGTACTCAAACTATCCAACCAGGAGCGAACTCGTAACAATGGTTTTAAATTAGACAAATTTAGATTTAGGCGTGAAATAGGTCAACATTGGTTTGGAAACAGAGTAGTGGATGAATGGAACAAGTTACCAAACATCATCATTAACTCTAATACGCTGAATAGCTTCAAACATCAGTAGGCTGGATGGATATATGAGCGATAGGGGTTGGGTGTAAACGGGACTGACCAGTATAGACCTGCTGCAGTTTCCTCAATTATTATGTTCTTATTTATACACTTGTCGCCTCAATTCTTCGTAGCATAAGTCACCATACACGTAGCAACAACCTCAAAGACTTCTCTCCCTGGCAGACGAGATGTTCAGGTGTGTGAGAGCGTGTGTACATCTGTCCAGGTGTACACGTGTCGGGAGGAGAGGTCTTCACGGCGCGTCTCAGGCCACTACGGTCGGTGTTGTGGGGTGCGGCAATGTTGGTGAGATGATTGTTATGGTTTACTACTTCTACTACTACTACTACTACTACTACTACTAATAATAATAATAATAATAATAATAATAATTCTTTACTACAACATCTAGCACTATTATCAAATGTAACCTAACATAATATAAGGTCAGGTCAGGTCAGGTCAGGTCAGGTCAGGTAACAGCTGTCTCCCTCCGTCAGGTGCCGCCGTCTCCCATAATCTACACCGTCAGGGCTTCAGGGTGGTGGGGGCGTATGACCCTGACCCAGCCCGCTACGCTGACCTGCCCCCCGGGGTCACCTGTCTCGCCACCCCGAGGAAGGTCGCTGAAGCTGCTGACGTCATTGTTACAGGTTTGTTGTCAAGGTGTGTGATTGGTTGAGGATAGTGTGCCCTTGAGTGAGCGTAATGTAAGCAGTCATGTAAACAAACCCCTGATCGAGCATAACACACTTGGTGCCCCTGATCGAGCATCATGTAAACACACCCCTGATCGAGCATAACACACTTGGTGCCCCTGATCGAGCATAACACCTCCCCTTGCAGGACTCCCTCGGCCACCCAACGTGAAGGAGGCGGCGGAGGGACCAGACGGTATCCTGGCAGGACTCAGTAAGGATAAGGTGTGGATCGATCACTCTACCACCGACAGTGATCAAACTATGGTAAGTCTGGCCAATTCAGTTCAGTGGGTTTACAAAATGGCGCCTGGTAACTACGCACTCCAAGTGGGTTACAATATGGCGCCTTCAAGTGGGTTACAATATGGCGCCTTCAAGTGGGTTACAATATGGCGCCTTCAAGTGGGTTACAATATGGCGCCTTCAAGTGGGTTACAATATGGCGCCTGGTAACTTGACATTAACAAGTATTTTAAAGTAATAAGTAATCTTTTCCTGAAGGTGTACAGTGAGGAGGCGCAGAAGGTGGGTGCTTACGTCCTGGAGGCGCCCATCACAGGTGGTCTAGCGTCGCTGAAGAAGGGACAAATGGTGGTGCATTTAGGCGGGGATAAGAGAGTAGCAGACGCCATGACACCTTTGTTGAATGTAAGACCACGAGCCTAAAGTAAATAATAATAACAACAATAATAATAACAATAATAACAATAATAATAATAACAACTGCTACCACTAATACCTCTCTCTCCCTCTATCTTCACTCTTACACCCACCCGCCCACACCACGCCCACCCACCCGCCCACACAGGCCTCGTATAGTAAGGTCTTCTATGTGGGCGAGATCGGGACAGCTATGATGGTGAAAGTAATATCCAACATGCTGGCCTGTGTCCACATCATAGCCATGGGGGAGGTGCTCATGCTCGGTATGTGGGTGTATGTGGGTAGTATGTGGGTGTATGTGGGTAGTATGTGGGTAGTATGTGGGTAATATGTGGGTGTATGAACCGAATTTGACAATAAGTTGAAATATATTGAATAATAATCTACATCCACACCTAAACCACACCCTTAACAAGCCACACCCTTACCACACCTTCTATACCTAATTAACCACACCCTCTTCAAACCACATCATCTCCTACGTAACTAACCACACCCAAACCACACCATCTACCTAATTAACCACACCCTCACCTGATCTCCCCAGGTAAACGCGCCCAGCTAGACTTGAAGACTCTCTGGCAAGCTATACGAGTCAGTGCAGGAAACAGCTTCGTGTGGGAGACTGGAGCCCCTCTGGTATTCACTGGCTCCTATGATCCAGGCTTCACCATGGCCTTGCAGAATAAGGATCTACAATTAGGCTACGATATGGCCAGGAAATATGAGGTAAGATGGCCAGCGAGTATAGGGTGTGGGATGGCCAAGAGGTGTGTGGTAGGATGGCCAGGGGGTGGGGGGGGGGGCGTGATGGCCAGCGGGTGTGAGGGAGAATATGGCCAGGTATTATGTGGTTAGAAAACTTTACCCAAACCTGCCCCTCATTTCTCCATCGTCTTCCACAGGTTCCAATGGACATGCACCTTCTAGCACTAGCAATCTACCGGAGGACACAATACCAACTAGGAGATGACGCTGGTTGCTATTCGCCTCCTAGGACGTACGAGTTAGCCTTAGGGGAAAGTCTTAATATAAGGGACTTTGAGAACTGGACTTACGATAGTGAAGTGTATAAGGGATCTCTTGTTGTGGGGCATAATGGATTAGAGGAGTGAGAGACAGAGAGAGAGATAGGAGTGAGAGACAGAGAGAGAGGTGAGGGAACGCTTTATTTGCCTTCAAACATCGACTACGAACCTAAAACGAATTTCAACTGGACTACGAGCCTAAAATATTTACTTGACTACGAGCCTAAAATATTTACTTGTAATATAAATCAACTAAAAACATCGATTATTATATAAATTATAGAAATGTTTATATGTAATAAATTAATATTGGTACTATACATTATAAATATATTACATATTAAAAAATGTGAGTACTTACTGGATTACAAAAATGAGTACATGTTTTGATAAATTAGCATATACAGTAAGTCTATGTACTCAAGCCAAACAAACACACATTACAGCAGAGTACAAATTAAAGTGTGTTAGTACATCAGAATGAGTACAGTGACGAAGTACAGGTCAGTACGAGTACATTTTAGTGAGTATTATAGAGTACAGGTTACATTTTTAGTTCACTGTTATATTGTGTGTGTGTGAGACAGACAGACACACACACACACACACACACTCACTCACTCACTCACTCACTCACTCACTCACTCACTCACTCACACACACTCACACTTAACGGGACACCCACTTAGCAACCAAGATCTCGACGACGAAGGCAACGAAGGAGGTAAATATCCCCAGCAGGAGGAGAAATATTGGACCCTGAAGGTGAACTAGAGTAAGAGACTTGGCTAATCCTCCTCCTCCTGCTTCTTCCTCTTCACCTCCTCCTCTTCCTTCCTCCCTCTTCCTCTTCCTCTGGGCTTCTCGACGTGTGTGTGTTAGCACGTTCTTCATCCATTGGTTGTATAGGCCTGCCTGTGTATGTTAGAGTTTGGTTAGATTATTATTATTATTATTATTATTATTATTATTATTATTATCCACCCTATACCACCACTACCACCACCACTACCACCACCATCACTACCACAACCCGACCCCTCCTACCACCACCATCACTACCACCACCACCCCTGCCCCTCCTACTACTACACTACCACCACCACATCTACCACAACCACCCGACCCCTCCTACCACCACCACCACATCTACCACAACCACCCCCTCCTACCACCCACCACCACATCTACCACAACCACCCCGACCCCTCCTACCACCACCACCACATCTACCACAACCACCCCGACCCCTCCTACCACCACCACTACCACCACCACCACCACTTACCTCACTAACAACCATAACAATCCTGTCTAAAGCTTCCTTGTAGGGCGCGTCGTGTGGGATAGGCCAAGCGTTTAGTCCAGGTAAGATGTTGTTACGACCGACGTAGAGACGCGTCGTACCGTCGGACAGTGTAAAGTGTTCCGCAATCACTAGTTCCAGATATCTCCTTCCGTCAACGTGCGACTGTCTGTAAAAATGACGGGTGGTTAGGTAAGAATTGACAGGTAGATAGATAGATACATAGATTGATTGATAGATAAATAGATAGACAGATAGATAGACAGACTTAGGGATGACTCGCCTCTCCGTCACCGCCTTGGTCAGTCCGTCCACGACCGACACCCCGACGGACATGAGCTCCCCCCACCTCCTGAAGGCGGGGGACTCCGAACTCCTGAGGAAGTGTTGGTACTCTCCCCCGTAGGATGGCATCGTGATCCTTAGGGAAGGTTAGGTTAGGTTAATTATCACCCACATACACTACAGATTACAATACCCTCTACCCATACAAACACCACACACAAACCTACTTATGCACCACCTTCACCAACTCCTTCAGGTTCTCCGGGCGGGGCGGGTACTTAGGCAAGGCGAGAGAAGCAATTAAATTACTTCTATAAGCTGTACCAATGAGTAGACTGAACACCAGCCAAGACCCGACCAGCGCACGTGTGGGTATCGAACCTGGGACACGATGGGGGAGTGTCTGACCAAGTAATCCTCCAACCACGATTTCAATTGCTGTTCCGATGTCCAGTCTCTCCATTTCTTGGCTTAACTGAGAGGGGAGAGAAAGGGAGGGGGTATTTTTATGTATATATGTACGTTTGTCGATATGTATTAAAAGGTATTTGAGTTACAGCGTTTATACAGGTATGTAGACACAGACATACATATGTACACAGAAACACTTAAAGACGCACAGGCAGACAGACAGACACACACACACACACATACCTTCTGAAGCATGGTAATAAACCACTCAAGACATATACTAAACCTTAGGTACAAAAACAGTCACTTGACATGTCCACATTTCCCACTAAAGGTCTCAGGAAATGTGTCTTAAATAATTAAATAGTGACGCATTGTTTCTCACTTACCGCGCCATAAACTTCGTGTTGACTGATATGGCGACATGTGGCAACTCGAACGTCAACATAATGGCGTTCACGAGTGGCATTATTTATTTATTTCCCATCGCCAAAAAACTCCCAGAAAATGCATTCATCGTTGGTAGAAATAATTTATAATATACTTAGGTGTTTTTAAATATTAATATAGATTTTTAGGGAGTGGTTTAATAGTTAGGTAAGGAAAATATAGTCGGTTATGAACGGTGATGAATATTCTCACAGGGATCAGAGTACTTTATTGTTTATGTTGTCTTGTATGAAGATCCTGATACATGTGAATATATTGTTAAACGTTAATTTATGGGTTTTTTTCGATTGGATTTCTACTACTACTACTACTATTGCTACCACCGCTACTACTACCACTACTAACATTATTATCGATACTACTGCTACCACGACTACTACTAACCACAACTACCACAATAAAAAAGGTCATTTATAGTATTAGTCAATTATAGTATTAGTCAGTGTCACCACTCCTGATTCACTCTACGAGGGACTTGAAACGTGTGGGCGTGTGCGTGCGTGTCATCATCTAATCATGGCTTTATGTGAGTGTGTGTGTTAAGACGTGGAAGTATAATGACTGACATATTGATAAATGTCTTGGAGTATTATGATAAAAATAAACTACCAATTATTAGATTCACAGATAAAAAAGAGACACACCCTTCTCACACATCCCTCTCACAGCCCACTCACACATCCCTCTCACCCCTCAACCCCCCCATCAACTCACCAATAGAAGAATAGAAGGATAGATCAACAGCACCAGTAGGCACGCCCCCCACACCTCATCTCCTAGGGGATAGTAGAGGCTCTCCCACCGAGGCCTAAGTAAGGGCTTAGCCATCCCGAAGGCCAGATTGACATCGTGTTCGTAGCTGCAAGTGAACCCGTACCTCTCGACCCGGTTCCGAAGCATCAAATGAACCACTGAAGCCACGAAGGATGTCCTCTCCTCCACCATCATCACTACCTTCAGAAGTTGGTATATGTAGGATAGGAATTAGGATACCCTGCAGGAGGCGTAGGATGTGCTGAACTGGTGTCTGTCTGTCTATCTGTCTGTCTGTCTAAAAAACTGACTATATATCATCATTCGTAATCTGACTTGACTGATTCGAACTGACCTCATCCCAGGATTTAACAGGTAAGACGTTAATGGTGAAATTAAGTGCCTCAGACATGGACTCTAGCAGCAACCAATCAGCACCCGAGTACTTTTTGGATATCTTCGAAGATGTCTTAGAGTTGCTTGAAGATGTCTTGGACTTGCTTGAAGATGTCTTGGCTATCTTCTCCTCCTCTTCCTCCTCTATCCAGTATGGCTTATAGGGCAGGGCTGTTACGTTAACCTTTGCCCCGTGGAAACTAGAGTGGGGGGGGGGGGTTAGATAGATAGATAGATAGATAAATAGAAAAATTAATAAATTGAGAGATAAATTAATATTCTCTCTCTCTCTCTCTCTCTCTCTCTCTCTCTCTCTCTCTCTCTCTCTCTAAAACACTCACTTGGAGAACTTGTAAGAGAACAGCTGGTGGCCATGTAGAAGGTTGAGGCCATCTGTAGGTCGCCAGATGGCCATACGCACCACCTGAGCTCCCTGGTTAGTGTAGGGAAGGTGTCTATACACTTCCCACCTGTCTTGGGGATTAATTAACTCTCATTAACCTCTCTAATTAATTATGCCAGGTTAATTATATAGTAACTTAATATGATTTAACCCTTTGATGATGATGATTTAACCCTTTAAGGACGATGATTTAAAGGGAATATAAAAGTTCTCAAAATATTTATACCCACAAACTTTGATAATTTTTTTGTTCGTGAATAAAGTTAATTTTGTTTATATTAAAATCGTATTAATATCACGTCTCTATCTTAACAATACTCTGACAGTTAATTAAAGTGTTATTATTGTTTTTATTTATTGTTTTAACACTTAGTAACTTTATTTCACGTCATAATTAAGTAACAACCATTAACATATCATTAATTACTTGTTTGTCAGCTGTACAGTAGTTTGTCATCTCCGTGTTGACAAAACCTGTTTGGTCTTAATGCTGATTGGTCATGGCACTAGATACCCTCTGACGTCATGTGAATATAAATCTCCCATTGGGTAAAAACAAAAGATGTGTGTAATACGAAGCTTCTGATTGGTCGGGTAGTGTTGGCTATCTGGTATATAAGGTTGGTAGACGGTGGCAAAACTCAGTGCAAACTAAGAGTGAGTGCGGGTCGTTACGGTGTAGTTTATAGGTGAACAATGATGCTGATTTGACTACGATACGTGAGGTGAGAGTAACAGCTTCTTGAGTTGGATGTTGGTGAACGAGATGAAGCTTAAGCTGATTTGGTGAACGTGATGAAGCTTAAGCTGATTTGGTGAACGTGATGAAGCTTAAGCTGATTTGGTGAACGCGATGAAGCTTAAGCTGATTTGGTGAACGTGATGAAGCTTAAGCTGATATGGTGAACGTATAAAGCTGAAAAATTGAAAAAATAAACTGCTGTACTGTAGACGCCCTTGTGAACTGTACACACTTACTGGAGGAGTGTACAGAAGAGGACCTAACTGCTGGAGTATCCTATGGCAGGTCTTCCTTCTGCAGTAGTAACTTCACCTCCTTCGGGGCTCGAGTGGGAGGTCATCCTAACAACAGCTTGGCGTGTCTCGAGTCTTTTAACAGCTAATGAAGTACCCTTGGCTGAGTGGGTCTTTTTACCGAGCGGGTTGGATTATTCCCCCCCGAGCGGGTTGGATTATTCCCCCCCGAGCGGGTTGGATTATTCCCCGGCGGGTTGAATTATTCCCCGAGCAGGTTGGATTGTTATTCCCCGAGCAGGTTGGATTATTCCCCGGCGGGTTGGATTATTCCCCGAGCAGGTTAGTTATTCCCCGAGCAGGTTAAGATTATTCCCCGAGCGGGTTGAATTAATACCCCCCGAGCGGGTTGGTGCATACCCCAGGCGGGTTGGATTATTCCCCGAGCAGGTTAGATTATTACCCCGAGCGGTTGGGTCAATACCCCAGGCGGGTTGGATTATTTCCCCGAGCAGGGTTGGATTATTCCCCAGAGCAGGTTGGGTTATTTGAGCAGGTTGGACTATTCCCGAAGCAGGTTGGATTATTCCCCGAGCGGGTTGGATTATTTCCCCGAGCAGGTTGGATTCTTCGAGCGGGTTGGATTATTCCCCCCGAGCGGGTTGGATTATTCCCCCCGAGCGGGTTGGATTATTCCCCCCGAGCGGGTTGGATTATTCCCCCGAGCGGGTTGGATTATTCCCCGAGGGGGCTGGATTATTACCCCTAGACTAAGGGTAAACACAAGCTCTCTTCAAGCTATATATCCTAGAACAAACTTATTTTTCCTTGTGTTTACGAATTAATTAATGTTAATTTTTATATACAACTTCTATTTTGTCATTAAAATACCTGTATATTTTCTTTACTGATTAAGTTAAATAACATCTAAGGTTAACTTATTTGCAAGGTAATTAATTTCAACACCTGAAAAAAGTTTAAGAAGTGAATAAAAGTGACTATATACATACTAGTGTTGTATACATATTAACCTAAGATATACATGAAAAAAAGTATAAAAACACTGAAAGAAAAGTTTGATAATTGTGATATATAAGAAATTAACCACGACAGTCGACCAACACACCTGAGGCCACCTGTTAATTAAGGTAAGTCTGACTATTAAACACCTGTTGATATATTGTTATTATTATTTACATTTTGAAATAAGTTAAGGGATTTTTTGCCTAATTGGTAATACTGTTTTTTTTCTTCATAATTCTAAAGTAGGAATTTTTGAAGGTATTTATTAACGAAGGAAATCCATTGTATAATTCTGGTATGAGTCTGGTGTATAATTGTAGTGTAATTATAGATCTTGTGATGGTTCTACATGCTATAACTAACACGTCACCTCTGTGGAGCACCAATCAGCATCAAGGTATCAATTATGACGTCACTACATGCTATAACTAACACCTCACCTCTGTGGAGCACCAATCAGCATCAAGGTATCAACTATGACGTCACTACATGCATCAACTAATACGTCACCTCTGTGGAGCACCAATCAGCATCAAGGTATTCATCATGGTGAAAGTCCATGACGTGTTGACAAGTGCTTGAAGCTCCGGTAGGGGGAGACGTGTGACCACCACCATCCTCGTCTGCCACACCAGCAAGCGGCCCCGGACACTCCAGTACCCGAAGGAGGCCCAGAAAGAGGGGTCGTCACTCACCGCCACCACGCTGACGCAGGTGTTACTCTGACGTACCTGATGGGGGGGTGAAGGAGGGGGTGTTGGTTACCTGGTGCTGTAGGTGTGTGTGTGTGTACGTACATAAGAGTTTCTGCACCATACTTGACATAAAGTACACACACACACACCTACCTCCACCAACAGGTAATCAACACCTTCCCTTACCTGTCGGGCGCGTTCTATCAGGTGTAGAAGATAGTGATGACCCTGTGAGGTGTTATTGGCCCTTCTGAGATGTTCCTCCTGCAGTAGTACCACTCCGAACCACACTCCTGCGGCCATGAACTCCTGAAGAAGGGAGAGGAGGAAGAAATATCGCCTTTATTGGACACACACACACACACACACATACATACATACATACATAGATACACACACACGTCACCAAATCACCATGATATTCACCTCCAGGATGCGTTGTGGTGAGGTGAAGGAGTCGGTAATCACCACGACGGTACAGGAGGCTTTGGTGACATCCTGCAGTACAGCCAGTAGGACTCCTGTAGGTGTTGGAGTCGAGGTGCTGCTGTAGAGTCCTTCTGTAGATTCTTGTGGTACTCCTGGGAATAGTAGTAGTTGTAATAGTAGTAGTAGTAGTATTTAAATAACTAATAATATAACTAACAGCTTCACTTTACACATAATATTTCTCTAGGCTTCGTTTTGTTTATTTTCATCCTACTAGAGTTTATACGACTTGTTTATTTGGAGTGGGATGAGGACCTTAGGGTAGAGCGTTTCGTATTTCCGTTTTCTTTGATGAGGGCGATGATGGGTGATAACGTTTAATAATTCAGTTTTCTTTGATGCTCTTAGGGGTCACTAAATTATTACAAGGGAGTACTGTCGCTGTTGTGTGAATAATTGATAAACGCTAAGAGAGAGAGAGAGAGAGAGAGAGAGAGAGAGAGACAGAGAGACAGAGAGGTGATATATTGACAGACACTCGAACAACATATAAATAAAAATATAGAGAATTATTAAAACTCATACGACCCAACTAACCTAACCTAACCAATTTAATATACACACTAACACACGCACATAACTACCACAATTCCTTCCTTCCTTTCCCCATAACTGACCTCTGTGTGGTAGAATCGTGGTAGTTGTGGTGACGAGAGAGCCTTTCACCACCATCATCATCATCATCACCACTACAGATAATTTGGTGATGCTGTGATCTTCCATTGACCTGGTGATAATAAATGGAAGTTTAGGTTAGGTTTAGATTAAGTTAAATTATCCAGTGATAATACTTACGTTACCTTGTTTGTATAAGAGGAGAGAGAGGCGCACCTGATGTCCTCTCTCTATGCTTCCTGGACCACAAGTGACCAATGTCCCCCAAGTGCTGAACTATTTATGTACGGGAGGAATCGACACAGAGGAGGGGAGGTTAAAGTCGAGCGTTGATTGGCCACTTTTGTCTGGGATACTTGTAAAGGAGACATGATTGGGCCACGTCATCAGGAGAGCCATGTTTCATTCTAGGCTGTGATTGGTTTAAAAGTATTGGTCAAAGTTTGGTGATTGGTTGTGGCGAGAAGGGGTGTGGCTACAATGGTGTGACGTAGGTATGACGATACACGAATACGCATTAACGAAAAGATTTTATTCGTGATTAAAAATGTTAAAATTATCACGAAAATTAACTGAGACTCTACCTTAATTATTTACCTTTATTAACAAACTCGTAAAGACAAATCAACACTCGGTTCATTTAACTCTTACCTGCCTTGTGGACCCCTGTGTACCTGTGTGTAAGGTGTACTAATTAACTCACCTGTAATTTATGTTCTCATGTGTACATTTGTGTGTGTGTGTGTGTGTGTGTCTGTGTGTACTTCCGTGTGTATGTATGTTTGTATATATCTATCATACACTTAACTTACACTTAATTACTTTTCTTTACAGGTAAGTGGGCTAATTACACCTGGGACCCTAATCAAGGTAAGCACCCTAATTACCTGTCCTCGTAGGTAACTCACCCCATACCAAACATCACTATGTAAATAACAATGACGTCGATAAAGTGTATGTGTACATGTGTATCATAAGGTGCACACACACACACACACGCACACACACACGCACGCACGCACACGCACTTTACAAATACATACCTAACATTTACTGACACCCAAACTCACTCTCAACCCTCCCCCCCCCACTGTCACCCTCCCCCCACCCCTGCTCAGGAGAGTAGAGAAGGTCAAATCCTCCAGCACCAAGTTTTCAACAACATCGTTCCATTTGTTCTTCAAGGGTGATAAACTAATTACTGTCTAGTGGTTAACAAAGTCTCTGTCTGTCTGTCTGTCTGTCTGGTTAAGCAGTACAGGTAAGGCCAGGTAATTATCCCTTAATGAGGTGTGGAAATTAATTTACACAGATAATTAACATAACACCTGTGCATCTATACAGGTGTTGAAATGTTAATTAATATTTAACCTCAGGTGTTAACATAGATAGATAGATAGATTGATTTATTAGCAGTTTATTGTACTGTATATAATAGTTTTATACAATAGCTATTCCAGAATACAATAGCTTGATACAATACCTATTTTATAATGCATTAAGACCATAGTTACCCATTTGGTTATACAATTGGGGAATACAGTTAATATTTTGTAATACAGTAGTGGTACAATATTTTATAATACAATAGGTTGATACAGTACTCCACTCTATAATACAGTAGGCTAATACAGTGCCTAGTTTTGTAATACAGTAATGGTACAATACTTTATAATACAATAGGTTGATACAGTACCAATTTATAATACAGTAGGCTAATACAGTGCCTAGTTTTGTAATAAGGCAGTGGAAACAATACTTATAATACAATAGGTTGATACAGTACTCCACTCTATAATACAGTAGGCTAATACAGTGCCTAGTTTTGTAATACAGTAATAAGAAGGTACAATATTAATACAAGGAATACAGTAGTTTTCTTCCCTCATCTATACAGCTGATACAGTGACTAGATTGAAATACAGTTGGATACAGTAGTCAGGTTGGTTCTTCTGGGGTGTAGGATGGCAGGATATTGAATAGGATATCACAGGATTCCTTCAGGGGGGCGTAGGATACTTGGTGGTTGTGCAGGATGGTAGGATATTCAACAGGCCACCACAGAAGTCCTTCAGGGTGGTGTAGGGTGGAAGGATACTCAACAGGGCACCACAGGATAATCGCAGGAGTCTTCAAGGGCATGAGTGTTAACGTAGGTTGTTAAGGGCATCACGGTATCGGTGAGGAGATCGTGGCATTGGCTGTGTATACAGTTGAGTTCTGAGGGAATCAAACTCCAGGCCCAGAAGAACCCACACGACCTGCACTCTGTCTCTGTGTGAGGGAGTGAGGGAGTGAGTGAGTGAGTGAGGGAGGGAGTGAGGGAGAGAGTGAGGGAGGAATTGAGTATTCTCTCTCTTTCTCTTTATCAATATATCAACCTCAAGCATTCCAATTAACCCACACACACAACCCACACACACACACAAGATACTTACTTGAGTTCCAGTTCACATTCACACACCCCGTCTTCAACAGAGTCAGGAAGGGGCACTTAGGAATATACTTAATGTAATCCTCCTCCGTGGTGATGGTGACAGTGGTTTTAGTTGGGTTACATCCTGCCTCTGTGGGTGATAGGTGGTGTTAGGGGTGTTAGGTGGTGTTAGTTGGTGTTAGGTGGTGTTACATCCTGCCTCTGTGGGTGATAGGTGGTGTTAGGGGGTGTTAGGAGGTGATAGGTGGTGTTAGGGGGTGTTAGGTGGTGTTAGTTGGGTTACATCCTGCCTCTGTGGGTGATAGGTGGTGTTAGGGGTGTTAGGTGGTGTTAGTTGGTGTTAGGTGGTGTTACATCCTGCCTCTGTGGGTGTTAGGTGGTGTTAGGGGGTGTTAGGAGGTGATAGGTGGTGTTAGGGGGTGTTAGGTGGTGTTAGTTGGGTTACATCCTGCCTCTGTGGGTGATAGGGGGTGTTAGGTGGTGTTAGGGGGTGTTAGGTGGTGTAAGGGGGTGATAGGTGATGATTTATTGAGTTTTTAGACAAGATATTAGATTTTTAGACAAGATTTCGACAATTTTAGACATTATATCGACATTTTTTAGACAACTTATTGAATTTTTAGACAAGATATCGACAATTTTAGATACAATCGACATTTTTTACACAAGATATCAACGTTTTTAGACAATATTTCCAAATTTTTAAACAATATCGACATTTTTTAGACACTATCGACATTTCTTAGCCCCTGGTGTCGACTTACCGAGACTAATAGAGTATTTCTTTATGGAGTGAGTACACATGTCGACTATTTCTAGACAGTCGAGTGAAGGAGATGTTATTTTGAAGTTCTCGTTGTCTAAATTGGCCTGACAAAGCTCTACGAACCTATGAAAAGATTGTGAAAGATTAGATAGTGAAGTATATGGTGAGAAAGAATAGGATTGTGAAAGATAGTGAGATATATAACCCCCCATTCCCACCCCCACACCCACCCCCCACACCCACCCCCCACACTTACACCTGTTGGACGGAGGTGAGGCCACTTAGTGCACACGGGGACACCTGGGCGTCTTGGGAATTCACACACAGTTTTTTCAGGGTAGGAAATCCCAAGGTAGCGTTGTTCAGTACGATGATGGCCTAAAGTGGATGAGAGTAGATGGAGGTATTTATTAGTAGGGTTAAAAGTAGGTAAAGTTTATATATAAGTAGATTATAAGTAGGTAAAGTAGAGGACTCCAAAGTTACCTCAGCGATGTAGAGTTCTTGGAGGAGAGGAAGATCACTGCTGGAAGGGAGAGTGAGACTGTAATTCACGTCAGAGATTGAAGGTGTCTTGCCTCCTCCCTTCGTCAGCGTACACACGTCTCCTGAAGGTGCACACGGGTCATACGTACACGATCTGGTGGTGTTGATACTGCAGTCCTGTAGGGAGGGGGAGGGGGGTTAGGGAGGGGGGGGACGGTCTCTCTCTCTCTCAAGCCCCCCCTCACCCCTCCCTCACCCCTCCCTCACCTCCCTCACCCCTCCCTCACCCCTCCCTCACCCCCTCACCTCACCCTCCTCACCCTCCCTGACCCCCCACCTCCTCCCTCCCTCACCCTCCCTCACCCCCCCACCCCTCCCCACCTCCCCCATCCCCCCACCCCCATCCCCACCTCCCCACCTCACCTCCTCACCTCCTCACCCCCCACCCTCACCCACCTTCACCCTCCTCACCTCCTCACCTCCTCACCCCCCCCACCTCCCACCTCAATTCTCCTCACACCCTCCCTCACCCCTCCCTCACCCCACCCCTCACCCCCTCCTCACCCCCCACCCCTCCCTCACCTCCCCTCACCCCTACCTGCCCCCCCCCCACCCTCCTCACCCCTCCTCACCTCACCTCCCCACCCTCACCCCCCCTCACCCCTCCCTCACCCCTCCCTCACCTCCCTCACCCCTCCCTCACCCCTCCCTCACCCCCTCACCTCATAATACAAGCCCCTCAGGCTGGATAACTCATCAAAGGGGATATCCACATGGGTTATATCCTGATCCACACAGAACCTCAGTCCATCCACTTGACCCGCAGCGCCGTAGAACAGACCCCTCACATCCATCCAATAGGAACAGTTGAATTGGGCCTCGAGGAACAACTTGGGGCTGTGGATAGAGGCGAAAGTTCCTTGTTTTTTGGTGTTAGTTGGTTAATAATGATGATAATGATACTATTACTACTACTACTACTACTACATCCACTACTACTACTACTACTACTACTACTACTAATAATAATAATAATAATAATAATAATAGCTAATTTAAGTTTCCCTCGTCAAGAAATACATACATACATTAACAAACAGTACAATATGTCCTACTACCGTCCATTACTGTCCACTACTATCCACTACTATCCCACTACTGTCCACTACTATCCCACCACTACTGTACAATACGTCTGTCAATATGTTACTCACGTGAAGGAATGAGCAGCAAAAAAGTTGAAGTCACATTTGGTGCAGAAGACGCACTTGAGAATGAGTCTATCCCCACACTGTGAATGATAAAGTGTGTGTTAGTATGTATCCATGTATCCACGTCTTCAATAGGTATACATACACAATAATACATAAATGACTTACCTCTGTACAATTGCAGTTTTCTGAATACATTGGATCTAGGTCACTGCACACTGGAATAGATGGATAGATGGATAGTTAGATAGGATATACGTTTATCTTTATCTATTCCTTCAAAATCAAAATTATTTAAACAATTTGGTCTGTGATGAGGTAGTGTTTTTCAAGTTGTAACTCACTCGAGACTGTCTTAGGTGTTGAAGGGTCGAGTAGTGAGTGACACCCTGGCATGATGGTAGTGGTGGAGGTGGTTGGAATTGGCAATGCTGTCGTATGGGAAAAAAACGATAATGAAGATAAAGTATAATAATGATGTTAATAATGATAATAATGATGAAAATAATGATGATAATGATGAATTGTATTTTTTTTAGAGGTTTTTGACATATAGGAAGATTTTTAAAGCATTTATGAACGTTCCTGGAGTGTTTGTTTCATCACTTACGAACGCCCCTGACCAAACACAGGAAGCCACGCCCCTCAATGTTGCCGTCACTTTTAAAGACGAATTTAATCCTCCCCTGGCGGGTCGTCCTGTAGTTGTTGATACGACCACAGCGTCTAGGGAGAGAGAGAGAGAGAGTTAGTGAGAGAATGAGAGAGTGAGAGAAAGAGAGAGAGACAGAGAGAGACACTTACCTTGTACCTCGACGGAAACTTGACCCGAAAAAAGTAACGAGACGGTCCTTAAAACATCTCTTACTGGGTTCAATACGAATCGTAGGACACTCAACCTGTATCTCTGCCCCTGGTCCTGGCTGTGGGAGAGAAGAGAGAGACTAAATTGTGAGATATATATACACTACCCACCCATCCCACCCCACCCACCCCATCCCACCCACCCAGCCACCTACCTTAAAGATCAGCTTCATGAAGAAATTTGTGGATACAACTCAGGAAAATTCCGTGATTTAAGTTGATATTTCTGGTTGATGTTGACTACATGTGTCCTGGAGTCTGTTGTGGGGAGAAAGTTGTTATTGTTGGGGGGTTGTAGGCTGTTGGGGGATTGTAGGAGGTTGTAAGGGGGTGGGGAGGTAGGGAGTTGTGGGAGGTTGTAGGAGGGGTGGGGAGAGGTTGTGGGGTTGTGGGAGGGGTGGGGAGAGGTTGTGGGGGCTGTATCGGTTGTGGGAGGGGAGGATAGAGGAAAGGGGGAATGGGTTGTAGTTTGATATTATTATTATTATTGTTATTATTATATAAACTTGTACTTACCTGTGTCGAGCTAATTAGACTTACCTGGTGACCTGATGACTTACCTGTAGGCGTATATGATGACCTGGTGACCTGATGACTTACCTACTAGGGTATATGATGACCTGGTGACCTGATGACTTACCTACTAGGGTATGTGATGACCTGGTGACCTGATGACTTACCTACTAGGGTATGTGATGACCTGGTGACCTGATGACTTACCTACTAGAGTATGTGATGACCTGGTGACCTGGTGACTTACCTACTAGGGTATATGATGACCTGGTGACCTGATGACTTACCTACTAGGGTATGTGATGACCTGGTGACCTGGTACTCCCGGTAGACCCTCAGTACCTGTTGCTGGTCCTCGTCACTTGTATCCCAAGGTAGGATCTCCATACTGTCCTGGTTACTCCTTGAGAATACCATCTTGGCCTGTGTGAGAGAGTGAGAGAGAGTGAGAGTGAGTGAGAGAGAGAGAGAGAGGCGTGTCCGTGGTATTCTCTACAACATGGCTCACCTACCTGTACTGATGTTAAGGCCAGACACAGCATCACGGCACACGGTAAGCTGAGGCGTCTCATGGTACAGCTTCGTCAGGAGACACAGCTTACTGCTCTCTCTCTCTGTAGGGAACAATTAACTGTGGTGGTAATGGTGGTAGATGGTGTGGTAGTACAAATGAATGATAAGTATATACTACTACTACTACTACTACTACGTTTGTTAAATTGTCCTAACCTAACCTAAACCTAAACTAACCTAACCTCTTGCTGCGACAGGAGGAGGAGAAGAAGAGACCTGCAACCTTTAACAGCTGCCGTCACACTACACCTGTCCTCACCTGTCCCTCCTCCTCTCTCTTACACCTGTCACGCCCCCCACCCCTCCCCTCCCCCACTCGGCACAGGTGTAAGTGACCCCTGGCAGGTGACATGTCATCTAAATAATTGAAGCATTAAGAGTCTTGTGATCGTCAAACTCTGATATACTGTATAATTAGTGTAATGAACCACGCTTAACCCACCCAGCTCACCCATGATCCACTCAACACACCCATAACCCACCTTAACCCACCCATGACCAACACGCTCCTTAAACCATCCAGTCCTGCATCCAGAACCCAAACCTTATTATCCAACAGTCCCAACCCACCCAGTGTCCCAAATCAACCCACCAAGAACCCACTCAACCCAACCAGGACCTGAACCCCACCCAGGACCCAGCCTCAACTCTCTCAAGACTCCACCCAACCCAAACAGGACTCCATTTCCAGAATCCCACCCAACCACCCATGACTCACACTCCTCAACCCAAACCCGAGAACTCCACTCAACCCACCCCAGGACACACCCAACCCACCCGAACTCACCCAACTCCACTCCAGAACTCCATTCTTCAACCCACCCAGAACCTGACCTAACTCCACCCAGAACCCACCAACCCAACTGCACCCCACCCACCAAGTCCTACATATTTTAAAAGGTCGTACGGTCTCTCTCTCTCTCTCTCTCTCTCTCTCTTCCATCAGGTGTTACATATATGCATGTCGACAGGTAATTAAATGCTTTCTTAATTAGGTCAAATCCCAGGTAATATTTTTATGAGTAGGAATATATATTTATTGACTAATTTATGTACCTACCTGTCACTCTACTCTCCTCCCAGTCTCCTCACCTCTCACTTCTTCTCTCCTCCTCACCTCCCCACCTCACCCCCCTACCTCAACATTTAAAGGACTCATCATGACAATTAAAACGATGTGATTGGCATTATCTGTCATTGTGTGTGTGTGTGTGTGTGTGTGTGTGTATGTGTGTGTGTGTGTGTGTGTGTGTGTGTGTGTGTGTGTGTGTGTGTCATCCCTCACAGGAAGAGTCACATCAGGAGAGAAATCTACGTGAGTTTTCATATTTTGGTGGAAAGTTGAGTTAGTGTGTTAGTTAGGGTGTGTTGAGGTGTGTTAGGGTGTGTTAGGGTGTGTTGGGGTGTGGTAGGGGTGTGTTGGGGTGTGTTGAGGTGTGGTAGGGATATCTGTTTGGGGGTGGAGGTGTGATATATTAGTTGTAGTCTACGATAACCTAACCTAACCAAACCCTAACCTAACCTAACCTAACCTAACCTAACCTAACCTAACCTAACCTAACCTAACCTAACCTAACCTAACCAAATCCTAACCTAACCTAACCAAATCCTAACCTAACCTAACCCTGAGAGGCATAAAAGAAACACCACATTATTTCACATACGTGTTTATTTATACATAAATACAAAGACAACAATATGAACTGGATGTGAGTATCAATAGTAAAGGCTAGTGATGAGGGCTAGTGAGGAGGGCTAGTGGGGAGGGCTAGTGGGGAGGGCTAGTGGGGAGAGTAAGGGCTAGTGGGTAGAGTAAGGGCTAGTGATAGGAGTAAGGGCTAGTGGCAAACAGTAAGGGCTAGTGGTGAAGGCCAGTTGGGATAATAAGGGCTAGTAAGGGCTAGTAAGGGCTAGCATTAATAGTAAGGGCTAGTTGTACCAAGTAAATCACCTTCTTGTCCAATAGGGCGTTGAAATTACACTGAGACTCTACCTTAACTAGATACCTTCACTAGAAGCTAATTACATCTCCTCAGGTGTGACTCATATACCTGTCGGCTCATTAGTGATAGGTAAAATGCAACACAGAGTACACGAAGTCTTCAGACACTGTAATCGACCATCATCACTTCCTCAACTGTATCGCCAGGTACCTCTTCACACCTGGGTCGACTGTGGGATCCCTGGGTGATAGGTATTGTAGGGTAATGTCTCTGGTTTAATTTCGATGCCAGTGAACGTTTCTGCTGTGGTTTAATTCACCTAATTAGACCCGGAAGTAATTGTTGACTAAACCAGGCGCTAGGGATCATTCGAGTGAAATTTATCTACAGAATTTGACTCTAGATCCCGTTTTCTATAGTGTTATCGCCCTGGTTTTCTTTATCGTCAGGGGAGACCTACGTACCAGACCTTTATGCCTGAGATACTGCTCTCTATCCAGTGTTGGCGCCCCTTGGAGGAAAGATGGGATAGTCCCCTGTCCACTGAAAAAAGAACGACCCCTTGTGTGGATAGATGGAGCGTTATTTGAATGGATAGAACCTCGGATAGATGAGGATGTAGGATGGAAAGCCCTTGGAGTAGAGGTGGGGAAGAGGGACCTGGATTTGGGTAGGTTCGGGGGCCCTAAACTTGGATGGAAGGGCCCCTGTTGGTCTGGTGGCTGAGATAGTAATTCATTGAGGGGGTCTTCTGTATGGTGATGGGTCAGGTGATGGGATGGATGGGGTGATGGATTGATGTGTTGAAGGGGTAAAGGGGTGATGTGATGGGGTGGGGAGGTTATGTGATGGGGTGAGGAGGTTATGTGATGGGGTGAGGTGGTTATGTGATGGGGTGAGGAGGTTATGTGATGGGGTGAGGAGGTTATGTGATGGGGTGAGGAGGTTATGTGATGGGGTGAGGAGGTTATGTGATGGGGTGAGGAGGTTATGTGATGGGGTGAAGGACTGGTTATGTGATGGGGTGAGGAGGTTATGTGATGGGGTGAAGGACTGACATTATGTAGAGGTGATGAAGTGGAATGATGGGACCTTGGGGTGAGGAGATGATGGGGTGATGGGCTTACAAGGTGATGGGGTGAAGGACTACCATGATGGGAGACGGTCATAATATGATTGGGTGCTAGATGACCATGGGGAGAAATGCTACCATGATGGGAAGGAGATGGGGTACCATGATGTGTAACAGAAGTACCAAGATGAGAAATGGAACTACCATGAAGGGATTTTTGGGAATCATGATGGGAAATGGGGAAAATATGATGGGGTCTTGGGGTACCGTGATGGGGTCTTGGGGTACCGTGATGGGGTCTTGGAGTAACATGATGGGTGATAGGAGTTACATGTTGAGTGATGGGATCTATATGAAATGAATCGGTCCCTGGAAGCTGCGGGAACGAACTCGGGCTCACAGTGACGCCATTTGCTATGATGTCCCGGAAGTCGGCTGTGTGGAGATCCTGTACCGGAACAAAGAGGGACAGGTCCGTCTTGGGACGTTTAGCGAAGTCCACTCTGAAAGTCGGGACATTTTGGTGGTGTGGGACAGTAGTAGGGTGGAAGTTAATGAAGGAGTGGACCGGGCCAGTTGTTGGATGGAACGGGCCAGTTGTTGGGTGGACCTGGCCAGTTGTTGGATGGAACGGGCTATTTGTTGGATGGAACGAGCCAGTTGTTGGATGGAACGAGCCAGTTGTTGGATGGAACGGGCCATTTGTTGGGTGGAACGGGCCAGTTGTTGGATGGACCTGGCCATTTGTTGGGTGGACCTGGCCAGTTGTTGGATGGAACGGGCTATTTGTTGGATGGAACGAGCCAGTTGTTGGATGGAACGGGCCATTTGTTGGGTGGAACGGGCCAGTTGTTGGATGGACCTGGCCATTTGTTGGGTGGACCTGGCCAGTTGTTGGATGGAACGGGCTATTTGTTGGATGGAACGAGCCGGTTGTTGGATGGAACGGGCCATTTGTTGAGTGGAACAGGCTATTTGTCGGGTGGAACGGGCCATTTGTTGGGTGGAACGGGCCATTTGTTGGGTGGAACGGGCCATTTGTTAGGTGGACCGGGCCAGATGTTGGGTGGACCGGGCTGTGAGTTGGATGGACCACGCTAGATGTTGGGTGGACCGGGCCATGAGTTGGATGGACCAGGCCAGGAGATGTTAGGTGGACCGGGCTGTGAGTTGGATGAACCACGTCATGATGGTTAGGATGGACCGTTGGATGAACCGGGGATTGAAGATGATGATGAACCGGTGTTGCAGACGGATGATGATGTACCGGTCCAATGCCTAGTAACGAAGATGGATGATGACGATGAACCGCTTCTGGATGATGATGAACCGCTTCTGATGGATGATGCTGCGACGTCGGCGAAGACAGCAGTGGATGAACCTCAAAATAATCCAATGAACCATAATCTACATCCACCACCTGGGGATGTGGATGAACTGGCTGAGACCTTGAATCACCCACCAGCCCTGGATGAGACAACGGATGAACCAAACTCGAGGACCCAAAGACCCCTTGACGATTAGGCGAAACATGATCTGACGGATGATGTGGATGTCCCTGAGTTGGATGCACGTGACTATCCCCTGGCGGATGAGTGACTGGATGACGCTTCGACTTCTCATCCTCCCCTTGTTCATCCGGATGCACCGCCACTCCTTCATACATAACCACGGCGTTGTAACCGTTCTTGTCAGCCGTGTATTTCACAACCTGAGTCCGCCCATCTGGTAAGGCGACCCGGTATTCGCCAGAGGTCGCCTGCTCGCCCCTGGTCTCTTGATGAGCGAAGCTGTTGCCAGTTTTCTCGTCGTGGACCCCGTAGGAGAATAGATAACCAGGAGGTGTTGTCTGGAGGAGAGAAGGTGTGGGTTAATGAGGTCAGGTCAAGGTCATGTACTGGTTAAAGTTAGGTTAAGTATTTTGGTTTAAATCTGGTTTAGGGCTGGTGGTTTATACAGACTAAAACATTGGTTAAATTTCTGGTTTACTACGTAGGAACCTTTTGAGAATCGTAGGAACTCACCCTGGGTCCTGATTCGACATTGCTCGTGGTGGAGACCCGAGCCAGGAGACACAGTAGTAACGTCACCTGTGGAAGTGGAGATCAAGAGATAATGTAGGAGACGACAGAGACAAGTAGGAGACACTGTTACAGATATGAGGTATTTGACAAATGGTAGGAGATCAATTAAGTCTATTGGAGGAGTTAGGAGACCAAGAATATATATAGGAGACTGTATAAAAGACCATAGAGATATATAGGAGATCTTGAGATACCTGGGAGACAAAGGGAGATAGATAAACAGAGTTGGAGATAATTTCCAGGTTTTCTCTAATACTAATCCGTTTTCTATGATACTGACGCCATGTTTAAGGTTAACTAAAGTAATCTAACAAGGTCCCCCATTTTATGTTAGGGTAGATTTTTTGACCTAATTTATGGTTTAACTCCCATAAATTAGTCCAATAGTTTATAAAATCTAGTGTATTGTGGCCCCATGACTCGATCCTACCATGAATTAAAGCCATGGATTGATTTCCCTTACCATAAATACCATTAGATGACCCCACCCCTTCCTTCCATTCCCCCTCCCCATCTCTCCTCCTCCTCCCATTTAGTTTTGCTATTATTATTATCATTATTAAGAGTATTTTTTTATCCCTACTTCCACCATCATCACCACCACCCTCACAATCATTCACCCGTTACAGTGAACAAAGCAAAACTCATAACCAAGACTCACAAGGTGTTTACACAATATTTGGCCTTGACTATGAACCAAAATAACAGTGTCTTATCTACGCTTTAAGAACATTATGTCATTTGCGTGTCTATATACAGTTTGTTTTGGTTACGTGTCTGTATGTCTGGTAGTGGTGATTTGATGGCGCTAAGTCATCGTACTCAAGGGGTTAAATCATTGTATTTGCACACACACACGTACACACACACACACACACACACACACACACACACACACACACGTCACCCCCTTGATCAAAATGTCGTGACAAAACTCCATTATTTTTCAGGTTGTGACGAAATATCTAATTAATTCTTCCCCTGTTACTCTCCGCGCCTCTCACCTGTGCTCGATACAGGTAGGAAGCGCTTAATTAACTTTACCCACGTTCACAGCCGTTCACTATGTTTGATACGGAAGTGCTCATGTATGTATGTGTGTATGTATGTATGTATGAGAGAGAGCGTTAAGACGGAAGCGTAAGTCATTACTCTCACTAACTCTACCTTTCCCTCTCATTCCGTCCCTCTCTCTCTCTCTCAATCTTCCCTCTCTCTCTCTCTCTCTCTCTCTCCTTCCTCTCTCTCTCTCTCTACCTCTTACTTCCTCTTTCCTCCCTCTCTCCCACTCACTTCTATCTGTCTTCCTCCCCCTTCTCTCTCCCACTCCCTCCCTCCCTCCCTCCCTCCCTCAGTAACGTAATGTCCCTACCACATCTTGCCTCACCCTTCCCTCCGCCATCTGGTGTCAACATTAGTTTGTTTAATGGCATCGTTAGTTCTACCTAGTTAAGCATTGGTTTAGGTTAGGCAACAAATGCATGAGTTTCCGGTGTTATTTGAATTTCCTGTTTTCTCTTATGTATTAAGTGTCCGTTTTCTATGACATGGCGAGAGATTTTTGATGGAATACCACTAAAAATTTCCATTGCATCACGAAAATACATCAAACACCCATAATAAACTATAGAATTACTCATAAAATAAATAAAATAAATAATTATAAACATTGAGCCAGTTTATCTTGTGTTTATATCGGAATAAAGAAAATTAAATCGATATAAAGGGATTATTTCAGGAGGTACGATTCTAATATTTTCTCCTCACGAAAATATATTGAAAACACTTAATAAATGACACCAAAACAATAATTAGCTACGAATAAATAATTAATATTAAATTATCCTGAATATTTTTAATAATTTAACGTAATAAAATTTAATTACCTTATTTAATTCCTTTATAAATACATGAATTTTCTTGGGTCTATTAACTTATTATTTTTTGCGACTTAAAATCTTCCTTTCACGATCCTAAAATGTAGACTCCCTAAATTTACCTAAAATCCTTTGACACTGTACTTTAAGGAGTGTCCCAAAATACTTAAAAATCCGTGGACACTTAATTATACAACACTCCCTTAAAATTAAACTCCTAAAAATACCTCAAATATATAGGCACTTATCCTTTAAAATCACACACCTTAAATAACCAGGTACACTTCACATCCTTAAAACACCACTTAAAATCCCACCATATACACCACTTTCTTTCTTTAAATGTTCTAAAAGTATATCCCCTTAAATACATTCACTTTAAATCGTCCTAGACACTTTACCTAAAAAAAAAAAATTATATCAC